CCAAATCCTGTACGCTGGCTGGGTGTCTGGTTCGACAAGAGACTGTCCTTCCGGCACCACGTCGACACAAGAGTAGCTGCGGCAAAGAAGGCAGCTCAACACCTGAGGCAGCTTACAAACACAAAGAGAGGACTGCCAGCGGCCGCCGTGCGAAAAGCCGTCGTCTCCTACGTACTGCCGATCGCGCTCTTCGGCGCCGAAACATGGTACGCAGGTATCACGAAGCCGGCTTCGAGACGCCAAGCGGAGACAGACACGAGTCCGCCTTTCCAAGGAAGACCCGTCAACACAGGCCAGAAGGGGCTCGTGCAGAAGATCGACAGCGTCATTACAGCGGCAGCAAGGATCGTTCTACCTGTCTGGAGGACAACGCCAACCAGTAGCCTCCTCCGAGACGCCGGCTTACCGTCAGCCAAAGTCGCCTTAGAAGGCGTCCGTTTACGGGCCGCAGTCCGACTACAGAGGATTGATCGCCGACACCCGCTAGTCGCGCGGCTCTCCCAGCAGGGACAGCAACAGACGAGACTACAACGGACGGCTGAACTTCTGCCAAGATGCGGAAGACCAACGTTCCTCCAATCACAGTACCTGCCAAGCTCACAGGATCAGATAGTAGTTCAATGCAAAGAAGAGGCTGCGAAAGCTTTCGAGCGCTGGCTAAAGACAGTACCGGAAAGCCATATGATCGTCTTCTCGGACGGCTCCAGGGCGACGAACGGAGCCGTGGGGTACGGCTTCGTCATCTACCGAGACTCCAAACGCATAGCGCAAGGGTGCGGCCGACTCGGACTAGCAGAAGTGTTCGACGCCGAGGTCGAAGGGGCGCGAACCGGCCTCAGAAGGGCTCTGCTCACCAATCGCGGTCATCCAATCCACATATGTATCGACAACACCAGCGTTATACAAGGCATCCGCGGCAAGGCGCCGGACTCGTCACAAGACGCGTTCCTCGAAATCCAAGAAGCGGCCAGGATATTTGATATACGGACGCACTGGTCCCCGGGACACCAGGGCATCGAAGGAAACGAGGCCGCGGACCGGCTGGCCAAAGAAGGAACGACACTGCCGGCGCGGATGGGTCAAATGGCAACACTAGCGGGCATCAAGCGGCTTGCAAGGGAAAAATTACAAAGCCAGCACAGGAGATGGTGGTATAAAGAGCGAAGGCCGCGGTACGCGGACTTGGGGCTTGAGGCAGCTCTGTCCAGCCCTCCTGAACTGGCCTTGCCGCGGGCTACGTTACATCACCTGCTGGCGGCACGATCGGGTCACGGGGACTTCGAGCAATATCACCGACGTTTCAACCACGACGACGCTCTAATGATGTGCTCTTGTGGAGAGGCGAAAGACGTGGACCACCTGGTCTACTGTCGACTAACGCTGGCGAGGAGGCAACGGTGGCCGACCCTCCACTCTCGCAGTATGCCCGAGCCCATAGGTCCTATGGGATCTCTCGAGGCCTACTTCAAGAGATTAATCACCGACCCACGAGGCTTCGAGGCCTTTCTCCGCGTGACGGACTTCTTCCAGAAGATCTGTCTGCGGTAGCAGCATCCACACCTAGGTAGATGTGAGTGCGGACTACAAAGAACCTCCCGATTCCAAGGGACGATTTGGGAAAGAATGAAACTGGGGCACCAGCGGGAACCGGGGACAGACAGAACGCGTAGTGGCCACAAGGCATGATTTGGAGGACGATGTAAAGAGACGACGTACTGTAGAGTAGGTAGCCTTGGCTCACGGCCCTCCACGCCATATACCCTTCGGGAGGTCTGCGGTAAGGGCTCTAGCCCGGCCGCCACGGCGTTAAATACAACAACAACAACAACAACAACAGAGCAGCGACATCGATACCAGCTGCGGCCCAAATTCTGGTCAATTGCTCTTCATTCATGATTGATTGAACCTGGAAGGTGCATTCCTCGTAATCTGGATTATTGTCTGTTGACTCGATTTTAACGCAGTGTTTACGATCACTCTCGTCGAGGTTCATAGTCTTTCTCAGCTCAGTGAACATGAAATCTAAGAGTCGATTTCGGACCTTTACTATGTCATCTGTTTTATGTTAGATTTAGTATCTTGGTACAGGATACATGTTTACTTGAATGCCTGATGACTAGAGTGTGAGAGACTCACCAGTGATTTTCGCTTCGGCAAGATATATCTCTATAGGGTCGGGTATCTCTGGCCACTGGATGCCGCCTTTTCCATCACCGGAGCATTTGGAGCCTAGGTAGTTGACCATTTCGTTGTAGATTTCTTTCGCGCCAATCTCCCAAGCGATCCAGGCAACGTATTCCTTGTCAGGCGAGTCGGTTCTTTCTTTCTCTGTGGGCATCCAATTTTCGAGATGCGGGCCCAAACTCCCTGTGAGGCCATATACTCGAGCATGTGTCAAGAGACCATAGAGCTCAATAACACGGACCTTATCCGGAATAAAGCGCTTCTCATCGTGGATGATCGCAAGGAGGATCAACATTACCTGAGAATTGTCGCGTTGCATTTCCCCCACCCGTTGTCCCTTCTTTTGCCAATTTGACTCAAAGACACCCGGGGAAGCTTTCGTCATTTTCTCAGGGGAAACGAAGATCTTGAGTGGCAAGTCGGTGTCATTGCCAATCACGAAGCAAAAGTGACCTTCCTTGCAAAAAGTAATAACCCGGTCGTCCGGTATTTCTGCGACGACAGAATCCCACGTTGTCTTTGTAGATGCCATGTCTGTTAGCTAACAGTTGCTGTCAATGGCCGTGGGAATAGTCAAGGTGCTCTTTGTTTAACAACTTTGGGAGTAGAACCTCATATCCAATATGAAACGTATGCAATTCTAATAGTAGTGTTGTTCAAGATCTATTGCGAATTACGGAGCGTTGAAGAAGACGTTTTATCGCCTCTTCTGTTCCTCCTCGAGGAAGCAGATGACTCATTTATGTCCCACCTCATACAAGGAAATGCGGAGCGCCTCGTGAATTGGGCTCAACGAAAAGGTAGCCAAGGCTACATTCATTCCTTTAGACCTTGTTCAAATGCTCCTGGTGGCGGTAGTGAGGGTGAAGGTTCTTTGGTTTCCTGCACCAGTGACAAAGGCGTTGTGTGGGAACAGGGATTCGAAAACCTCCATCATGAAAGAAATAATCGGAGTCTGTGGTCTCTAGGCAAGGTAGTTACACAAGGCCAAGCGAGAAGTCAGTTTGGAAGAGTGAGGGCACCGCTTAGATGCGGTTGCCCGGCCGGATTTGGCATGCCTGACAAGCGGGCGACTTGGTCGATCTTCTGGGGCAATAAGTAGGCCCATAGCACACAACCTGCCTCCGTGCCTCCATATATTCATTCAGCACACAGACGCAATAGGTTGAAGGGTTTTATCTCGATAGTGTTCTCTAAGTCTCGGGTCCTAAGTACTCTGAATCTGGACGTCTAAGGCACTGGGTGTCGACTGGGCTCTATCCTATGTATAACATCACCATGTAACTGGTATTTTTCTAGGGCAAAAGCTTCTGAAATGCACACTTGGACTTAGGCTGTCTGAGTTTCAATGGCATCATTGTCGATGCTAGTCAGACAGGACGTGTAGTAAACTTTAACACTAACTTTGTGTTATTGCGTTATCACCATATTTCTGTGCTTCGTTTCCGGTAACATTGGGGCATCACATATCAGGGGCACCATCATCCTTCAGTTCATTCAAGGGAATTTGATAAGTCTTTCTCGAAGCATTGAAACGATGTCACTGGGTCTCTTTTCTTCCAGCGTGACACCTTAGAACCATCAGAATTGAACTCGCTCCATGGCCAGCTCTTCAACCAAAGTTCGAGATTGAAAAACCTCAAACGTTAGACTGGAAATAAACAAAATTTGATTTCTAGGAGCTCATATACATTTCTCAACAAACCTATGGATAAGTTCTGCCACATCATTCGTCTGGATTCTCAATGTAAACACCCCGCCCGTACTTGATGCTTCAATACATGCTACCTTTATACAAGGCAAGGTGTTGGATTGGCAAGGCAGAAAAAGGGTCTAGGTAGACGGTTAGGTAGGGGAGGTAGGTAGGCAGTCTGGGCCCGTGCAGACGGACCCTTCGACCTACTTACACCCACCGAGGGATCGCGGGCTCTGTCCACGATCTTCCCCTTATACATACGCGCAATAGACCTACCTCGACTATTGACCTCGTCGCGACCGAAAGGTCTGACCTGCCCACGTGTATACCAACACAAGGTGCTCTAATACCCCCCTTGCAAGGATTTATCTCCATCATAGATGGCCAAGAACTTCTCAGGTTCCTAAATCGAAGATGAACATGCTATCCCAGTGTCCATTTAAAGGTTTCAGCTTGCTTCTTGAAATGTCCCTGACGTTTCGAAGCCAATTCAAAAGGGGGCCAGCTTGGTCCCTTTTCGAACTTGAGTCTCATCTCCCTAAAGAGATCGCATGTCTCGTGTGCGGCTTCGCATTTCACCGCCAACAACCTCTGCCACAATTCCTTGATGCTGCCCCTATAAGTCGAAGTATTTCCGCCTAAGAAGACCTGGCCCAGGCCATCGACATCAAGCTTCTGACTGATCTTGAGTTTGGACTCTTGAGTCATGTAGTCGTGAATCGCGTTAGTGCACTTAACTCGTTCATTCTCTAGTACGTTGTTGGCGACGCATCCTTTGCTACCATTGCTGAGCGATATAGTGTGCCTGAGCTTCCGGATCACGTCTTTCAGTCTTTCTTCACGGACAAAAGCCACGTTGGCTGCTTTATGTTAGGCCATCGAATTCTTCGACTGTTTAAAGATCAAAATTCGAAAGGCTCACCAGGTACTTCGGCATTATCTTCATAGCTGTCATGAAGGGTATGTTCAAAGATCGGATCCCCGTCAGGTCCCGGTCTTATGACATTGCCTAGCCCGTCGAGTTCGCAGATAAATGCCAGGTGGTCGATCATTTCGTCGTAAAAACGTCCCGCGCCAACCTTCCAAGCGAGCCAAGCAGCGAGGTCAACAATTGATGCTGGGAGGTTGTTTTTATTGTACTGTGCGGTTATCAATTGCTCCAGGTACGGGCCCAAGAGATGCGCCAGGCCGAGATCTTCAGCCCTGTTAACTAGGTCGCAGAGATTCGAAAAGGAAATCTTGTTCAATTCGGGGCCTTTCATTGGAATTGAGGCCTTGTTTGGAACGAGTAATTCAGTACCGTGGGCGATGTCTAAGAAGATCAGTGCCAAATCGACAGGATATTTTGATAAATGTTCCTTAAATTTCAAGGAAGATTTCTCGTGCTTCTCAAACCCGTTCAAAGCTTCCTCCAGTATAGCCAGGGAGACTATGACCGTGACCCCCATATTACGGTTTTGAGAGCGGTTGCCACCAACTTTAAAGGAGTCGGGTGACGTGGAATCATCTTTGCAAAAGTTGATAGGTTGGACACGCAGCAGATCTGTAATGTCGGACTCCAACGAGTTGCTAGTATTAGAAGACGTCATTTCTGTAAGGCGAAGGCTTGTCTTGATGATGCCAGGAAGCTTCTGCCCGACCATACGCTTTAGAATTAGCGCATTTCTCCATCTGTTCTGATATAGGACTTACGAACTCTCTGTGTAATGTTTTACGTATTGTGCAGCTGTCGGTAGTGCGTTTCAGAAGGGCTGATGGCGTTTGTTCCGTTCCATCTGAAGGGAAAAGGCGGGCTTTTATACATGTTTTGTTGTGCACGAGGATGCGGAGCGTGACCTGGATCGACATCATCGGGAAGGAACTTTTCATTGGCTACCCGTAGTGTAAGGGACTCAGGGGGTATGCGTTCCTTTGACCCTCGGCTTCATTTTACTTGTGGAGGTAATGATGGTAAACATTCGTTCGTTTTACCGTACTCGTGACAAAGGCACTGTGAGAAAACAACAATTTTGAACCTACCACAAAGGGAGCAATACAAGTCTTTGGTTGCCAGTGACACGAAAATGAAGAGTGATTTGTGAGGATGGCTAATGAGGACAGTGAACAGGCGCATTTGCCCGGCAGGCACGACTTATAAGTGCACCTGTGGTGCTAGACTTGATTTTTTTGGTGTCATTGACAGGTGCTCCGAACCCCACCTATCTCTTTCTATTCACGAAGTTTGGAGGTAAATGGGTTGTGCGTTCATCTTATGTGTATGTTATTTCGATAGAGGTAGCGGCCTTTGAGTAGATGCCAAGTTCCAGAATGATTGAAATGACTGCTTCTGCTTTGCCCCAGAGTTAAAGGGGTAAGATATTTACGAGAAGGACTCCTTGCTAATTGAGGTTTCGACGGAGCTTCGCATCATGACTGCCAGAGCAGGTAGAAATCGAAAGTGAAGCGACTTTTACGCTTGTCATCTTCGTTTAACTTGCCCAAAGCATGGGAACGGTAGTATTAAATCGTTTTCGGACTGCCTATAGATAACTACACTTTGAGACCACTGGACCTCATTCTAAATGGCTAGTCTCCCAACCATATCGAACCCAACTTGAAAGAGAAGAAGCAAGGAGAATGAACCGGTCGTATTCTTGCAATTTCCCTCATTAGTAAACCACCTCTCCTATTGCGCTTCGGCCACATCATCCCAATAATAGATGATATGATGTAAAGCCCTGGATGAATGCCTCTAGAGCTTGGAGGAAGCATAAATTCCTCACGATTTGCTCAGAAGCCTATTTGGTCTCACTTCTGCGCGATCCATCCCGAGATCATTCCTCGCTGTTTGATCTCTGTCTGCAATTCAACGTCGAGCTCTGGCCAAACGCTGCCTCCTATAGGATGCGAAATCCTGAAGACAGGATCACAAGACTCGTGACCCTCGATGGTAGAGCACACTGTCTTCAAAATCTTCCCGATATACTGACCCCTGTCATGAACAAGGTCTTCCTCATTTTCGACGAAGCAAGCGAACTCAGGTCCGTCCGTAATGATGAACTGTTCCACGGAGTTAAATATCCTTGAGTTACATTTCTCACGGTCCTCTGCAGTTGCTTCTTTGTTTACACAGTGTTTGTGCTCTGAGGCGGGATCTAGAAACATATTCAGGTAGCTTATTGTAGCCCTAATGGCTTCTTGTCGAAACTTCTTTACGTCCTCTGTTTTCGTCAGGCTATGTCAGTTCTTTCCACGCTCAAGCAATTAGAAAAGACGCAAAACTCACTCTTAATTTCGTCGTATACTTTCACCCACCCAGACAAAATATTCACGTCAGGGTTACTGAGATCTGTATACAGAAGGGCCAGTCTGGCGATCGTTTCGTGGTAGACTTCTGCCGCACCGATTGTTCTGGCGATCCAGGCGAGCCAGACAATATCGGCAGCGGACGTTAGCTTTCCTCTTTCCTCTGTCTTGGGCATCCATGCCTCGAGAATCGTGTTATCCAGACAGTGTACAAGTCCATATTTGTCTGCGTGTTCTAGTACACTCTTGAACTCCTCAATTGAGATACTGACTGGAACCAATTTTTGAATGCGTTTGTGGATGATTGCAAAGAGAACGAACATTGAACCGACATTATCACCCTCTGGCAAAATGGCGCCTTTGCCAGGGTATCCGTCGACCTTTCTATTTGATTCATTTGCCAACACCTTGGCCAAGGGTGATGAAGCTTCCTTGATGGTTTCGAAATCAACGATGATTTCCAAGTGCGACCTCCACTTCCAATTCGTCCCAGAGGATAACTTCTATGACTTAGCGGGGCGTTTATAATATAGGCTCTTGCTCAATACAGGGCTCCAGGTTTGGTCTTTTCCCCATGGCACAGGCTGAGGAGGAGGGAAGTCATTGGCGATGACGAAGCGGAAATCGCCAGAGTCGGTGATTCGCTGAATAGGATGAGCTTTTGTTAAATCCACCTGGAGTTGACCCCAAATCTTATTGGTAGACATTGCATCTGCTTGGGAAAGGTGGATAGGTCTCGTCGACGGCTGTGGAAATTGTGTGAATGACGCCGCACTTTCTCATCTGTCAGCTTTGAGTCTAGTACTGAGCAAAAGGGGGGAGGTGAGAGTGAAGCATTTGCCACTTCTATCCCCAATCCCAGCTGTTGGACTTACAACTGGAGTGCAGTGAATCTGTAAACAAGATTGAGAAAAAGCTGTGCGAGAAGAAGAGCGTGCAACATTGATCCAGCCAACGTTGGAGGAAGTGGACTGCTTTATATCCAGTTTGTGGAAGAAGTGACAAAGAAAATGTTGAAGCCATCTATATTTGCACCTGGCAGCTTGACGGTTTGCTGAACAGACGCCCAGGCTCCAGTCTCTCCTTTGAAGTTCAGGTGACTGTCCCTTGGTGGTAAAGAAGCTCAGTGTTTACTCGGTTTACCACAGCAGTGACAAAGACGTTGCACGGGTAGGAACTCCACCACGAATAAGTCGACTTCAACATGTCGTTTCTAAACCTGCTTACACAAAGAACAAGCAGTGAACAGGCATGATGAGAAACAAAGACGGAGTTCAGCTTCCACGGTTCAACTTCCACGGTTCAACTTCTAGGTATGCTACCTCTGGGCCTCTTCGGGCATTATTTCCATCGCATCAAGCCACTCCATCGTAAACGCCGTCACAATCTTGGTCCAGTCCCTCACCGTCGGCATATCGAGGTGCTCTCCATCATCCTGCGTCGTGTGCCATACGTCGGGGAAAGGCGAGGGAATCATATGCAGAATGTTGACACCCTTCATCATGAAGGGAACGTGATCGTCACCAATACCGCTACGCCCGAACATCTGGTTCACCTTGTTGATGTCGTACAGGAACGGCATCTTGGGCTTGCTCTCGAGTAAATTGAGGTCACGCATGCGCTTCTCTATGTCGGCCATTGCCTTGTAGGCCCAGTGGGTTGACTGAAAGTAAGAAGGGACCTTGGGCTCTGCTGAGCCAAGGAGATCGAGCAGCACGAACATGCTAATCTGCTCTAGGGGGTTCTTGTAATGAGACATGGCTGGGTTAAATGTGTTCTCCCACTCGAGAGCCAGGGACCTAGAGCAAGATATTAGTGTGATGAGCCTCATGCTGTGTCATACTTCAACTGACCTTGCGCCATATAGTGAGTCGGTATCCGTCCAGGACTTGAAAGCTTCCTCTCCATCGAGAAGCAGAATCTGCAGACCCATATCCTGGGGAACTGTGCCGCCGTTCTCCCCGAGGGCAACCATCTCATCGTACATCTGGGTCATCATCGGATCCAGCGCTCTCGCAACGTGCAGAAGCATAGCGCACGGCGCAGCGCTGTCCGTCGCGCCGATGAAGCCCTTGGGTTCAATCTTGCTGTCGTAGTGCGCCACCAGGGTGAGATAGTTGGCCTGACCAGGCTTCGTCCATGGCGGTTCGCGCCTGATGATGAGATTCTGAAATGGGATATCGGTGTTTCCCGTGGCGGGTGTCTTATCCGTTGAGTTTTGCCATTGGATATTCCATTTCGGTAAGTTCTTGGTGAAGAAATCGACGAAATGCTGTTGAGTTTTGAGCTGCCCATCCGTGCCGGGCACTCGGGGAATGAGAATGGGGGCCAGCAATGGGCCGTTGTGAATGTCAAAGTCGGCCTCGGATACCGTGACGTTTTTGAGCACGGCTGCCGAGAGCGGTGTGTAGGCGCATACCGAAGCCGCGAAAAGGAGGTGAAGGAACGCGATCCAGAGTCCGCGGACGGGATGGCCTCTCACGAGAGGGAGAGCCATGGCGGGCTGTGACGAATGACAGCGGCAAGGGCACGATGGGACCCTGTTCTCATGAACTCATGCTGTGTTTGGAGGGCCGAGATCGATGGCGGCGGGTTTCTTCGTCGCTGTCGTCGTTGGTAATAGAGGGAGATGGCGAATTTGGATGAGTTCGCGACGGAGCTCCGGGATTTGATGAGAGTGTTCAGCGCTGTGGTCGAGTTTCCGAAGAGGTGTCAACTTTTGGACGTCCTCCGACCGAGGGATGGACCGGCCGCAACGGGTTAGAGCGAAACTGTCCTGCAACATGGAGCTGCAGTCCCCCTGTGGCTCTGTTTTAAAATAGCGGGTCTCTGAGCGCATTAGGTAAGACGCGCTGGGACCCGTTTCTCCGCACGGCCCGTGGGTGCACGCTCCACCGCGACGACCTCACCTCACTCTTCATCTCACTCCATCTCACTCATCCCTTTTACTCATCCCTTGCCTCACACATATCGTGCATCTCAGTCATCACTGAGCATTGTCAAGGGGCGCCTTACACCAAGACGCGCATCGAGTCTCGGGAGTCAGGACTTTAGAGCATACTCGTTCTCTTGGACAAACTCCAAGCTTTAGGAGCCACCTCCAGGCCATTCAGCAATCGACTTCTCATCCTTTTCTTCTGCGCGACAACTGACGTTTGCCCCTTGGTCTCTACGTTGAAGAATTATTCGAAGAGGAATACGTGCTTGATGCCCGAGGGAAGGTACCATCATGGAACTAAGATTGGCAGGCCAAGTGGCATTCAAGCGATTTGATGTCGCTGATGACAAGATCTAGCAAGTCGTCTACCGGATAATTTCGGTGGTTCAGCAAAGGCGTCCCGTCTTAGCAGATCCAGATGCGATGTGACTTCAAACTCTTCCAAGTGGGAACCATGTCGCTCCTGAGGGAACGAAGAGTCGCACTGTTAGTCCTGCATTCAACATCTGTTTCTCATGTTTAATGCTCTCATCTCACCTAGACTCTATACCCATTCGGACAACCCTAATATTCCGATATCCCCATCTAAGATTTCATCACCAACAAGATTGCTCCATCTACTTTCATTACTATCATTCCTCCCTCATCATCTCAGTCAGTGCTCCAAGCGCCGAAGGTCCTCAAACGCCAAGAGCAGCCGTCATGAACAACCGTTCCCTCTTCATCAGCACACTGCAGACCAAGACAAGTGCCCCAGCAGCGATGACCAGGATGTAGGGCAAGTTCAAAGCCTCAACAATGGCCTCAAGAACCTCCTGCTGCATCCGCGGCGGCAGCGTCGTGACAAATTCCGTCCCGACACCAGCAATCGCAGCCTGGATCTGGTCCTCCGTAACAGTGTCCGGGAGGATCGGTCAGCCGCTTCTCAGCCCTGTTCAGAAACACCGCGTTGCTGACCGCCAGCGCGATATTGATACCGCTCGACTGCGCCAGGGCAATCAGAGAGGACGCAACAGCAGCTTTGGACGCCGGCACGCTGGCTTGCGCAATCGAGAAGCCCGCTTGCGTGAAAGTCCCTACGCCAGCACCGAGCATGGCAGAGGCACCATAGATCCAGGCCGTGCTGGTGTCCGTCTTGACGACATACATCAAGGTGGAGGCAATCACGCTAATGATGCCGCCGACGGTGAACCACGGCATGTACAGCCCAAATTTCCCGGACGGGCGCGACAGCATGCCGCCCTGCGTCAGGGTCACGGTGACCATCACCAAGATGAACGGCAGCAGCCGGACAGCCGCGTCGATGGCGCTGTCGCCCCTCGTGAACTGGAAGAAGATGGGAACAAAGTACACCGGCACGAAGATGGCGCAGCCTCCGGCGGCCGTGACGCAGAACATGAGGACGATGGTCCGGTAGTACTTGCGGGAGGTGATGAGCTCGACGGGGAAGATGCGACGCTCCTTGGTTGTGCCGATACAGTACGCTTGCTGGATGCCGAAGACGATGAATAGGACGCCTGCGACGACGAAAAGCGCTATCTCGGAGCCGGATTCCCATTCATACAGAACGCCGCCAAAGGAGATACCCATGGTGAAGCAGACGATGGCGCCGAGCATGAGCGGAGCACCGATCCAGTCGATCTCGGCGAGTCGCTGGAGGATGGTCGCGCCAGGCTGAGGGTCGGGGGACGGTAGCATGAACAGATACACAGGCGCGGCCAGGCCACCGATGGGGAGATTGATGTAGAAAGCCCACCTGTCAAGTGTCAGTCACTGAGGAGGCTATCGATCATGGTGAAGGCTGACGTACCGCCACGTCGCATCCGAGTCAGCAAATGCACCTCCCACCACCGGTCCAAGCAAAGTCCCCAGCCCCCACGTAATCCCAATACTAGCAAGATACGCAGGCCGCTCCTGGATCGTCGTCGTAGCAGCGATAAGGACCATGACGCCGAGATACATACCAACACCACCGAGACCGCACAGCGCTCGCCCGACGATGAGGCTGTTCATATTCGGCGCCGCGCCGCACAGAGCACTGCCCGCTTCGAAGACAGCGACGCTGGCGATGTAGAGCCACTTGGGCTTCAGATAGGAATATAGCTGGCCATAAAAGAGGTTGACAGCCGTGGCCGCCATGATGAAGGCGACAGCAAGCCATGCAATATCCTTGATGGAATCGAACTGCAACACGATCTGAGGCTGCACGTCAGCGACGACGGTGTTGTCCAGGGCGAAGAGGAAGGTCGATGAGAGGATTGCGAAGACGATGAGGTACCACTTGATCCCGGTGACAGTACGGACGGGCTCGACGACGACTGTATCTTTGCCTCGCTCTGTGTCGGTGTTGTCTCCTGAGAGAGGACCCTTGGTGGAGGAGAAGTCTGGCTGCTCCGCCTTCTCCAGCGGTCCTCCGGTCTGGGGCACGACCTCAGTCTTGGCTATCATGTTATCGAGGGTTCTCGCCCAAAGGATATGAGTGCGTAGCTGTCGAGCGTGAGATATAGTGGCATCACGCATTGTTATCCGGACCCTCGAACGTTCAAATACTCTTCCGACTCTCTCCTCCTTAGGCTGCCGTCACCTCAGACCCTTTCGCCATCAAGCCATGAGCTGAACCTGGGCCAGCTGGACCAATGGACTCGTCCATGTCGTAAATCTTAATATTTAGTCAGCATATAAGCTCTGCATATAGCTGCAGCATATCAAAGCCATCTCTTGGAGCGAGCGAGCTTACCAGCTAACCCACCAAAACTCTGGGTTTGGCGTTGAATCGTAGGCTGCAGCGAAGACGGCTCAGTCGAAAACAATCCGTTTGAATCCTGCCATACACGCCTTTGAACTTCCGGCCAACGCCGCTGAGAAAGCATATCAGGTTACACAGAGGCGCGCGGATAGTCGGTCCGTAAAACAACCTCTTTGAACCGCCACCGGCGCTTAAGGCAACCTCACCAACCCTTAGGCATTGATGAAGCACGCATACAAAGCCCATCATACGGGCCATGCATGAGGATGGTCCAACATCCCGGATATCTGGGAATTCCCAGTCTTACCGCTCTCGCACCGCTGTCCGATTGGCCTTCTGCCGACGTGACACGATGACGGGTCGAGCAGGTGATGGTCTTGATAAGCTTCCGGAAGCCCAAGCTGACGGGTTGCAGGTCAGAAACGCCACAGCTGTGGACTTTGAAGATACCCAGCACGGGCTGGCGTATCAAATGCGGTCTTGAGGATGTGTAGACCATACAGGTAGACACGCTTTCTCCTGTTCTACATACGCTGATGTCGTGGTCCAATGAAACCTGTCAACTCATTAAGGCTGAGATAAGCCCACAAAAGTCCAGAAACTGGAGTCAGAAATCCCGAAAGCAAGTCGGCCGGTCATGGCGAGAATCGTGGGCAAACAATCTTGAGACATTCGAGAAGCTATGAACACATCATTGAAATGTACGCAGCTTTAGGTACTTTGGCTCACTCCACACCTCTGGAACGAAACACAACACAATCGTATCGCACTTTCTCTTCGTTTCTGGTTGATTTGATGTCTATGAGATTCAGCTTATGACTGGCCAGGTGCCCAGATTTTGGTTCTAGAAACGACCCAGGAGAAAGCTGCTGCCTTCGTCATTTCATTATTTCATCGACCGCCATTTCCGTGATTCCATATCGTCGTAGCATTGTACCCCAAGACAAAAGTCAGAAAGAGTTGGCCTCTGACTTGGCATCTTCCTCGTCCGAGCCGTCCACCTCCTCATCCTTCACCTCACCCTCGAAGACCACTGCAACGTTCTTGGATCCTACGCTCTTGCCATCATGAAAGACAGTGAAGTCAATGCTTGCACCAGCGCACTTCATGTCAATGTCGAATTCGAGCTTGTGGAAGACCTTGCCAATTGGATTGGTGTAACGAGGCATGCTCTCGAAGTCAAGTTCCTTATTCCAAGCAATGGCGCATAGGATCTTGACAGCTTCGCTGTACTCCACTTGCGGAGGCCATGCCGTGCTGATGCACAGCGTCTGTGAGATTGTTTCTGGGGCAGTCTCGAATAGCTGATAGAAGTCTTTGCGAATGGGTTCGGTGCTTGAGACATCCATGCCCTATCAGCAGTGTTAGTGTCTTGTGAGAATGACATGAGCTTTCACTAGAGAACGTATTACCTGCTTGAGAAACCACTCCATTTGATGTTTGATTTTCCAGCAGTGTTCGTCTGTGCACCAGAATCTGAGGTCCTTTCTGTGAATTCTAGGATCGTACCTCTTGTTGGTGATGATTCCGTAGCTAGCTCGGGCAATTCTGGACTTGACGCTGATAGAGAGGCCTGGAGAGAGGCCCTGCTGGGAAAGTCCGTGAATTACCGCGCCGCGACAGATGGCGGTCCATCTTATCTGCGTTAGCCCAGTAAGACATAGAGGTGTGAAGCAACCTACGGCTTGGATCCGGTGGACTGCAGGAGTGTGATGTTCTTATCCATAGTGCTCTGAAGGTGACTGTGAAGGTAGCGGCATCTCCCAAATCCTCCGACTAGGATAACGTTCTGCATTTTCATCTGGCATGTCAGAGATTTTCTTTCCACAAGTTACACGGATTGAGGTTTTCTTTTCACCTTGGGGAGCTTGCCACACTTGGCTTCAACACCGTGAATCTGCTTCTGTACCAAGGCCGCAATCTTGATAGCGATCGGGTCAAACACAGTGAGAAGGTCATGCACATTGAGCATGAGGTTCCGCTTGCGTTTGATTCCACGCTTGGATGTTCCTCTAGCTTGACACTCGGGGGGCAGCTTGATGTGCCAGTCACGGTCTTGAGCGTTGAATTGCTGTTTAATGCCGTGTTCCCAGTCCCCATTGAGGATACTGGCCGCATCGTCTTTGGGAATATTGGCCCAGGCTTGGGGTGTGACCTTCTCTTTGACTAATTCGATGAATGCCTCGTCGAGAAACACGCCGCCACACATGTCTCCGTCTCCTTCGATAGCCTCTCGAACGGCCAAAGGTTTCAGGCCGAGTACCTCGTAGCTCATGAGATCGACCGTACCTCCACCAGCATCGCAAACGATGAAGTGATCGCCCACCTAAGCCAAACTATAAGTGATGTGTTCTGCATCAAATGATTTAGAGGCAATGTGAGATGGCATACCTTGATATTTGGTCTGCCTGCTAGGTCTTTCAACGTTGCAAGGGCTGCAGCCTCTGGCTCCGAAATGAAAGACAGTACAGTCTTTCCGACTGGACGCTTCTCGAGAATTCCGGCATTCTCTACTGCTCGACTCATTCGTACCTTTGCATAGTCCGGCCAGATTGCGGGCAAAGTGATGACGACGTGGAACTTGCACATCTTGACGAGGTCCTCTCCGGCGGAGATGCTAATGCATTCAATAGAATGATTCCATAGACGTCGAAGATAACTGCTGATGACATCAACTGGCTCTCTGTTTGCATCTTTGACAAGCTTCCTGGCTTCAGCGATCTGCGAAGACGTTCGGAGGTTTGCAGGAAGCTCCGCATCATCAACCAAAAGAAGTTTGAACCACTTCATTGCATCATGACTTTTCTCGACTGTTATCTCAGAACCCCAACAGACGGCGCCGCGAGGTTTCTGGTACAGAATCGTTGTTGGCGTCTTCGCGGTGTCTGAGGTATAGTTGAGCTCGGCCTCCCATCTGGTAATGACCTCAATGTCGTTGGGCTGGCCCGAGAATGCCCAACCCACTCCGGAGAAGCTACCGATTATTAACTGAAGAACTTCGGAAGACTCAGGTTATGGAGAATATAGTATCCTCACGTTGTGCCGAAGTCAATGCCTATGATTATCGCGTTCTCCGAATCTACCATGGTGAACCGCCACTCTGACCTTAATATGAATGTCGTTTTTTGCAAGATCCTGAATGTGTGGCTGCAGAGTATGATCAGAAATGGGAATTCTGGCTGTCAGATTCAGCGATGAAATTCGGGAAAGACCTGAACTGTAATGTGTGGATAGGAAAATAGAATGGAAGCTGCCAGAGGCAGGTGATGAGGAGAAGACTTTGATGGAGAAGAAAAGAATTCAAAAGCGCTTCTGAGAAGAGGGTAGGAACTCAAATGAAAAAAATATCACCGAGAATAAAAGGCAGGTGCCGAGGCCACTATGAAATGAGGACGGACGTAACAAAGCAAAAGGTATCTACTTGTTGGAAGGTACGACAGCCCAACATTGGAACTGAGGCAGAAGTGGTTTCCAATCTTTGAAAGACACGCCTTCCTCCGGTCAATTTTCTTCTATCGGTGACCGCCTGCCTTGTAAGATATCCCTCAAAATTTATAGTACTTCATTCTCTAATAATTTCTTTTGATACAAAGCTTTTCGCCAAAACATATTTCTTTGCGCAAAGGCCCTATTCTACGATACCTGGGGGCTTGAATACCACGATGTCAACTTACTCGCTGCGCCTGGATCTACTCGGTGGGCTTTTAGAGGTAAGATATTCTAGAAGGAGATGATTTGCTGGAAATTTAATTCGAATTGTTCACATAATGGTAGGACGACGACATCGCGATGACGATACCGAGCGAAGCCTCTTCCGGAGAGCAACAACACAGCGACGGGCATGAGGGCGAAGCTTCTGCCAGTATCGACACAAACATGTCACACGCTCAGGCCCACGGAGTTCTCCAAGCTCCGCAGGGCCTACTACAAAAGTTGTACGAAGCAAGTTGCCAGAAAGTGGCTAGCATCATCGGAAAGAACCTGGCTGTTTCCTCTCAAGAGATGCAGCCAGAACATGGCAACACCCATGATGTCAAATACCAGCACCAAAGCCAGCAGTTCCAGCCTGATACTGAAGCTATGCAGCCAGACTCTGAGGTTCAGTATCTCCGAGACGAGAATTTCAGCCTGAAGAAACGTCTTGACGAATGTATGGCGAAAAGCACATCCCTCCAAGCCGTTGCAGCAAGCGCCAAAGACGGAGTCAAAGACGCCAAGGAACAGCAGGACAGCATGAAGATGGCTTACCAGAATTCCATGCGAAGCCTACAAGAGTGCAACGATGAGCTTCAAGACCAATTACGCAAGCTCAAAGCGAATTTCGATTCTTACAAAGTCAAAAAGTTGAGGAATCAAGCAATTGCAAATTCAAGCAAGGTCCCAGATGATGCAATCAAGTCTTCCTGGAAGCAGATGGCGTACAACATCCGTAATATTGCCGCTACAACTCCCACAGCCAGTCTTACAGAGAAAGACATTCTGCAGCATGGTCACCATTACACAGATAAGTCATGTGCTATTTGCGAAATGCCTTGCGAACACCTTGAGCTTCTACGAGATGATGAACTGAGAGCCAGCGTTATCGAGGGATACATTTGGCGCGCAGTCTTCCGCCGTATCTTTGAAGCCGGCGAATCATATGACGGTGGCAAGAGCTGGGCTGGCAAGCCAGGGATGCTGTTCACCGCACTGTTTCGCAGTTTGCTAGGTAGAATACCCTATGCATGCATGTTTTCACGATCAACTGACAGAATTATCTATCTTAGGCGATGCCGTGAAATGTGCAGATGAGATTGAATTCTTCCAGTGGAAAGCAAGCTCTGCAGACATGATCGACCGTTTGATGGGCGTCGACGAAGATGAAATGCAACAAGCCATCGATGAAGAATACCGCGGACTCCTCAGATTCCTTCCTCGCGACTGCGTGGACCGCAAAGCCCAGAGAAAACAGCTTCATAGGGAGATTGAAAAGGTTTTCAAGGGTGCAGTCGAGCTACACCGAGTCTTCATGAAGTCCAAAGCCAACTTCTATATCGACTGGGCTGGGGTATCCTCTTCTTCTGAGGATGTCACTCGCTACCAACCAGACATGCACGATGCTGAGGCTTGGGAGAAGGATCTGGATGCCACAAGCATCATCAGGTTCGTCATCTCACCTAGTCTGGTCAAGGTTGGTAACGCGGATGGCGGCAGCTATGACAAGCTCAATCGTTTGGCCAAGGCCACGGTTATTTGCGACTAGAGCTGGAACAATATCGCATTTGGGGTGGGGGATGACATAGCTGCAGAGGAACTGCAAAGGCATTATTCATTCCTGGGGGAAGATTGTAAACATAGAACAGCACCCATAGCAAAGCCTTCGAAATGAACCTCAAGGATCGACGTACACCAGAAAAGACAACGTTGCGCTCACAAAAGCCGTTCACACCTAGATTTCCATTAGGACAGAATTTATTTTCTGAACTAGACTCTCCGTTAAAAGAAAAGTCTGACCTTCACAGGTTGTTTAATGTGCAACTTGAGTGATGGTGAAGAGTCTAGGATTGTCTAGGCCGCGGACTTTTGGGCTGGTGCGCTAAGGTACAATGGAAACAAACTTGCACAAAAATACCATCGGCAAGCACAATAGCTCAGGGGTAGAGCGCTGGGCTCATAACCCAGAGGTCCCTGGATCGAAACCAGGTTGTGCTAGATAGTTTGCATTTTTGCCCTCTTTACTTCGCCTTTTGCTTTTTTCTTTTTCTTTTTTTCATCTTTTTTTTTCCTTTTATCACGGAAACCATCTTCTTTGGGTTTGATTTTATGAAAGTTTTGGAGAGACTGCAAACTTTCAAGTTCTGGAAAGCCCCTGCAGGGATCCATACCTCCCACCTCTCCTCCAAGACCATTGTGCCAGACAATCTCCATCAAAATCACACTCCCAACGGCCCGGCGCATGTCTCAAAAAGCCGGAAATCGGAATAGCTCCCGGTACTGAAGCCACTCCACGGTCCACCCAAGCAAACCCCCACGCCGAGTCGGTGCCGGCCGAACAAGCTTACTTGAGTCTTAGTACCATGAGGCCAACGATGATAGGACACCGCCCCGGTCTCGCGCCATCGAATGGAGCGCTTATCTCCGTGACAATCCCCCGGAATCGAGTCTCGGTAAATGCTTTAAGCGCTCCATGAGTCGCGCGTCATAGACGAAATCCCGAGCTGTTTAGCATGTTTGCCGACGGACTTTCTCTCTTTTTTGGATACACCGTTGGAAGGACATGGAGTTTACAACTTTGAATTGACTTTGCGCTCAGAGAATAAGGATACAGAAGGTTTAGTGGGACTTTCTGAAGGGCGAAGAGAAACAGCGATTCTTGGAGATTGACAACTCTACGCCATGACTTCATCATTTCTAATCAACTAGCCCCAACGGACTCCCGCACGCTAAGAGCGTTTCGCGAACGAGCGGATAAACAATCTCTGTAACCTTTTGACTGTTATTCTGTCGCATACCTACTTCAACTTGAAGAGAAACAGAGTTCATCGGAGCGCATTTGGAGAGGCAATATAGAGGGGAACCAATGTTGGAGAAGCGAAACTCTGCTGAACGCAGAAGAGGTGACACGGACGCCAGCAGCAACAAGGACATGGGCTCAACACCCACAGGCGCAGGCGCAGGCGCAACGGCAGGGCCCGACGAGGCGGCGGTGGTGGCTGCGGAAGGAAAAGAAGCTTTCATGTCGCAGGAGGTAATACAGAATTCAACCGCGAACTCTACCCAGGATGGTGGCCTCGGCGGCGACGACGATGAGAAGCGGGTATTTACAGGCGGTGGGAATGACACGAGGTCACCGTCGCCGTCGCCTTCGAATTCGGACTGTGAATCGCATCGGGATGGAGGCGAGAAGGGCGGCCGCAAGGGAATTGTTGGCGCGACGGTGGGATTTTTGACGTGGACGCCGAGGAAGTTAAGATATGATCCCAAGAATCCTCCTCAATTCACGCTTGGGCTCAACTTTTTGTTCGCAGTTGTAAGTTACCTTGAATCATACACACATGATGGAACGAGATGCTAATTGATGTAGGCCGCGACGTTCACCGTCGCCAACCTTTACTACAACCAACCGGTCCTCAACAGGATCGCAGAGACGTTCAATGTCAGCTTTGAGAGGGCATCATCAGTCGCGACGCTGATGCAAGCCGGATATGCAGCAGGCTTGCTCTTCATCTGCCCTCTCGGCGACATGCTGCGCCGACGGCCATTCATCTTGGGCCTCATCTGGGTGACAGCAATGCTAGTAAGTAACCCCAAAATCACCTCCCGCAAACCACATCACCCTAACACCATTCAGTGGCTCGGCCTATGCCTAACAAACTCCTTCCAAGCCTTCCTAGGCCTATCCTTCATCGTCGGCGCCACAACAGTAACACCACAACTCATGCTCCCGCTCGTAGCAGACATGGCGCCCCCCGAACGCAAGGCAAGCTCCCTCTCCATCACGACATCAGGCCTCATGCTCGGCATGCTCATCGCGCGTCTGCTCTCGGGTATCGTGGCGAACTACACCTCCTGGCGCAACATCTACTGGTTCTCGTTCGGGGCGCAGAACCTGCTGCTGGTCCTGCTCTTCTTCTTCGTGCCGGATTATCCCTCGACGAACCCGGATGGATTGAACTACTTTAGGGCGCTGTGGACTATCGTGACGATGTTGTTTACGGAGCCAATTCTGGTCCAGGCGTGTCTGATTGGGTTCTTTATCAGTTCCATCTTTACATCCTTTTGGACGACGTTGACGTTCTTGTTGGCTTCGCCGCCGTATGAGTACCCTTCCATCACAATTGGTTTGTTTTCGCTGATTGGTATCGCCGCGATCTGTGGCGGGCCGGTGTATGGACGTCTCATCATGGATCGATACGTGCCGTGGATGTCTTCTGTGCTCGGGCAGACTGTCATACTCATCGGGTGTATCATTGGTGCTTTCACGGGTACCTTTACCGTTGCTGGGCCTGTGATCCAGGCGATTTGCATCGATATGGGGATTCAGACTGCGCAGACTGCCAACCGGACTGCGATCTACACCATCAACCCCAAGGCGAGGAACCGGGTGAATACGGCGTACATGGTGTGCGTATTTTGCGGGCAGTTGACGGGTACGGCGGTGGGCAATAGGTTGTATGCGCAGGGCGGATGGAAGTACAGCGCGGGTACCTCCAGTACGTGTCCTTTGTCCGAGTCTCGTTTTGACCATGGTTTTGCTAACAAACTACAGTTGGATTCATCGGGCTGTCGTTGATCATCACCATGCTCAAGGGTCCGCGGGAGAAGAGCTGGATTGGCTGGAGCGGCGGGTTCAAACTGCGCAAAGACGCGCCGAAACCTCAGCCGGCCTCACCCGAAGAGGCACAGGGGCCGGTGGAGGAGCCGGTGGAGGAGCCGGTGGAGAAAAGGACGGATATCGGCGCCGGTGGTGAGGAGAACCGGCGGTGACAGGGTCCGATGAGTGGAGGAACTGGCCGGGGGATGAAGCTATTCGGTGGTTGGGCCGTGTCGAGCTGCCGTTCCATGGTTTCGGGAGACGATAATCAACTGTTCTGGACTAGCCACAGGGAATCTTGATCAAACGAAACTCTATGTGTTTACTGGATGATCTTGAAACTGAAATGAAGAAGGTTACTTTGGAGTTGAAGGAGAAATGACGCAGCTGTTTGGTTTGGAGTAACAAACGGCGCAAGACTTGAGGCCAGAAAACGTTACCCGGCAGCCACTACAGCGAGACCCCGGGCAGTTGACCCGCCAAGGACGCCCGCCAAGACCCATAATGAGGCCGTCTAGACCTTTGAGAGGAATTGAGTGGTGGCTGAGGCGAGGCAAACTTTAGCGAGGCATGTCACTGGACGGGGGGCAAATGCACCACATACTTTAGGGAGGGGCCGCTGTTGAAGGATCGCTCCGGGTGCTGTAGCCCGTTGCCTACCTTACCTCATGGCCTGAAGCCTCAACATCAGCGGCACAGCGCCCCCCGCGATTGAGGCCCACCAAAATCACCAACCACCCGCCTGCGGCCTGCGACCAACCGCCAAGATCGGCAAGGCAACCTGGCCGGCGGAAACAGAGTGAAAAAAAACATGTTCCTCATCAATGAGTGAGAGAAAGACCGGGGGGTGTGAGGCGGATGATTATCTCACTCACTTCCCTTTTCACTCTCACTCTCACTCTCACCGACTGTCACCTCATTCACCTACAGCATAAGCCTCACTCACCAATTGACGACAAGTCACTCACGCATCACGACCTGGCCATGTCAAACACCACCCAACTAACCGCCATCCCCAAAACGCCCTGATGGCTCGCTACCAAGGCCTCGACTCGTCCGACCTGTTCCGCTTCGACACTCTCGCCTTGCGCGATGACATCCTCGTCTCCGACGACAAAGCCGTCTCCAAGGTCGAGTACGACGAGTATGTCGTGTTTAAAAAGGACAATGGCATACCCTCGGGCGCCAAGACGGGACTGGAGGACGATCAGGATATTAGTTTCCAGCTGCAGCACAAGGAGGAGGTGCCTGGCCACCACACGCTTAATCTGGCCTTTCGTCACGGGTACTCTGTTGACCATAACGTGAGTATTCCCCTATATGATCCAATTGAGACTATTGTACGAGAAGCTAACGTCCTAGTAGGGAGTATTCACACAAGAGCCAGTGCGCCATCCAGAGCTGGTTCTAGATGGACGGGTTCGACGAGTGTGAGTTCACCCACCTTACTGAGTATTTCATCTCAGACAGAGACTAACAGCAACAGCATCTGCTTCCGCCGCAACAAATCCTTTGACCGCCGAGAAGACGGCATCACCATGACCCCAAGAGACCTCGACGCAATGGACCTACACCCCGCCACCCTCCAATACTCCCGCCGCGTCACAAACGAATCCCGCTTCTGGTCCCTGGACCGCTCCAAGCTGAGTGAGTACCATACTCCCGCCCACCATCTCACTTCACTCACGAAGGCAACCATTCACTAACACCCGCCAGGCCTCATCCTCTCCTTCTCCAAAAACCCCAGAACCCCCTACGACTTCATGTCCCTAACCTACGACGTCCGCAACCGCTCCTCCTCCGTCCTCGTCCGCCAATCCTACCACCCGCGCCAGCACTCCCTCGAGAACCTAGACGAATACGACCAGCGCCTCGAGGCCTGCCGCGCCCACTGGGCCCACCCCTTCATCACCCCCGTCGTCCTCCTCCAAGTCCAATTCATGCGTACCGAAGAGGCCGTCATGGAGAACATCAACCACGTGAAATCCCTCGAGTGGCAAGTCAGCTCCATCGCCGGCTTCGAAGCTTTCGAAATGGAGCGCGAGAAGCGCTCCAAGCTCATGCGTAGACTTACCTTCGCCTCGTCCACGGCCGCGGCCTCGCATAATGAAAAGACGCCGCAGATTGCGGGGCCGATGAGCATGGCGAACCTGATGAAGAGCGCGCACGACGTACTGAAAGAGTCTATCAAGCTTCTCGACACCGTGCGGTGGATGGAGAGGGTCGTGAAGCTTATGCTGCAGGCCGGCGACGAGCTCGCGGAGCGCATGTCGACGGGGGAACTCAAGATCCGGCTGGACGATTTCCACGTACGACAGACGGACGCCGATCAGAGAGATGAGCAGGACCAGCAGGTGCAGCCCGACGAGCCGCCTACGGGCCCGCCGTCGAGGTCGTCTGCGAGTACGAGGAGGAGGTCGTTGCCCAAGGCGCCGGATCCGCTGGCTGATCCGCTCGGGAACCATTGGCATGAGATACGGCAGTATCTTGAGGGTTTGCAGCGGATGTGTATGGGTCTCGAGACGGATCGCCGCATGTCCGAGGCCCGTTGCCGCGCCCAGATCGATATTGTGAGCATCATGTATTACATCCTCACCGTGTTCCCCAAAGCTAACATGCATACCACCAGATCTACAGTAAAATGGCCCAAGAAGACAACGTCCTCAACGCCCGCATGGCCGTCGCCTCCTCCCGCGACTCCTCCTCAATGAAGGCCCTCGCCGTGATAACAGCAGTCTTCCTCCCCGGCGAGTTCCTCGGCACCCTCTTCGGCATGTCCATGTTCGACTGGCAAGCTTCCGGCGAGGACGCAGACAGCAGCGACAACGGAGGCGGCACCTCCACGAACCCAAAGGACCCGATCCCCGTGCTGAGCCACCTCTTCTGGGTCTACTGGGCCACCGTCATCCCCCTGACGATCGGTATCCTCGTCGCCTGGCGCGCGTGGTGGGTGAACCAGGACCGGTATTTCCGACGGCACCTGTCGAGGGAGTTGTCCGAGGAGCGGTACTGGACTGCTGATGGGAAGCCGAGGGATTTGGAGCATTCTTTCTGGTGGGATTTCTTTTACCTGTCTGTGAGGCGGGATGAGCGGCCCGCTCCGTCGGCGAGCGATTTGTATGGGAGTAATACGCTTGAGCTGTCGCCGAGCATGTCGCAGGATAAGGACGATATGAGGTCACCGCGTGGGGATATGACTGTGCGGAGAGGTCAGATTTCATTTTTGAGGTCGCAGAGTATCCGGCAACGGAATACTGTTGCCGTGTAGTGTGCGTGATTTGAGTATGGTATACGCCTAGTTATGATCCTCGATGATGGGCGGCTTGTTTGCTTTTTGCATATCTACTTGGGCGGTTTTCTTGGTAATTGATAGTCGGAAGAGTGTATATATGCGTCATGGTAGGTGATTTGGCTGGAGATACGCTGGCCAAAGAAGGGATATAGATGAAATGAATGCCCACGATGCATGACAACAAAGGAGTTGATGATGACAATTCCAATATTTGGGTTGTCTGTCGGGCATCCAGCGAGGCCGGGCAGCTATTGCTCAAGGAACCTGTCACAAGTCTCAATGTTCATCCGCAAAATAAGGCAAGATGGTAGCTAGATAGCTGAATGGCAGCCTCATAACAAGACGCCAATCAGCCACGGTGGCCATACGGGAACGAAATACAGAGAAACATCACCAGGAACAAATAAGTGCGAATGATTCTTTGCTGCATTGCGGAGATGTCTAGACTAAGGTACTCATCCCCTGACGGTATAACCATGCCACGTTCTCATCTCCCCCAGAATATGCAGTCCTGATGAAAGTCAATGTGCCTTCCGAAATCCCAGTCCATGTTGGACCGTGAGAAATGTTGTTGAACAGAAAGGTAGACCTAGACAAGAGTCCAAGTCACACCACTGACGCGGCCGCGGCCAAGGTCACCCAGGAGGGCCTTGAAGACGACAGGGCTGACGTCGATGTCGTTGACGGCACATCCCATGCACTTGTCAGTCACCTTGACGTCGACAGACTTGCCCTCGGCTTGAATGCGGACGGTATTGCCACAGAGCGGGTTGCCGTTGGACTGGGAGCCCATCTTGATGTGAGAGATGGCAACAATCATGGAGTCGTCGTTGTCGGTCCAGCCACAGGCGCCAAGACCAGGGTTGAAGAAGGTGATGTCGCCTTGGAAGGGGCCGGGGCTGAGATCCTGGCGAGCCATGACAGCGGGGGGCCTGGAACAAGCCAGTGTTAGCATCTGCGAGAGGATGGTGGAAGAAGAAGAAAGGAGGGTCAACTTACTCGACATCCTTGTAGACACGGCAGACCGTGAAAGAAGTGAGGGGGTTGACAGCGCGGCCCTTCTTGCCCAGGCGGGTAGAGCAACCGATGTGAGTAGCCTTGTCAGAGAGCAGCTGCTCTGCAGGAAAGGTCAGACAAGAAAGTCAGTAGACGAGGCGAAGACGTACCAGTGGTGCTGAGGGTCTCGTAGTAGTCCTCGACGGTGGTCTGGAAATTGTTCATGTCTTTGAAGCTAAGCCAGAGCTTGACAGCCGATACCAGAGGGTTGGTGACCTGCACGCTGTCCTCAGATAGAGAACTGAAGTAGGCGACGACCTCACCAGCACCATCACGCTGATGAGCAGGAGCGCGGCCAATGTAGCCCTGTCTGGCGAGCAGAAGGGCCCAGGTGTCGGCGTCCTCCTTAAGTTTGTTGTCCCAAAGGATGGGAGGGGTATCTGCCTCAGAACGAGCAGTGTTGATCATGGAGAGCGCGCGGTTCTCGTCACCACTGGTAATGGTGGGAGAAGCATGGACCATGCCGACAGCAGTGAGGCCGACTGCAATGCCAGTAACGACAGTCTTGATGCTGATCATGTTGACTGTTGTGGGTAGTCTGCGTAGGAAGATGGAAAGTGAGGTGTGTGTGTGAATTGAAGTGAATGAGAAGCCTGAAAGAGACAGTGTTGGATGGAAAGGTTGAAGTGGAAAAGAAAGACGCGGTCTTTGAAGTTGGGTATCAACGAAGAAGAGAGATTGAGGTGTGTGGGAGGAAGAAGAAGGGAGGGTGGTGGATGGGAGAGATGGCGGGTTTATATAAGGGCCTAGGAGGGAGAGCTCAAGAGGCAGAGGAAGGAGCCCAAAGTCATATACCTTCTGTTGAGTAAGTTTTCCATCTGGAAGAGGTTTCCAAGGCGTTCCAGCGGCAAGAGATTCGGAAGGAATCAAGTTGCTGTTAGAATTGCTGCCATACTTCCAACCGGGTTATCCTTCCCGTCCAGAGAGATACTTATGGCGACAGGTAACGGTGACAGGTAGAAATTCCGAGATTCTCACGATGGTGGTGATACCGGATGACTTGAACGCAGAAGCCAGAGTCTTTCAGGGGAATCTAGCACACCTTCCATAGGGCACACATGAAGGACTGGGTGGGCGACACAACATGCAGAGACCAATGATGTAGAGCTGACCTGACCATAAGGTAATCTATATGAAGCAATATGACAAGCCATTTCGGAATCTTCCCCAAAGCACGACAGCTGAAAATGGGAGAGCAGACCAGAGGGGAGGAGAGCCATGATCTCTCGACTGCTCTACCTACGCTGCAAGAATGTCCCTTCCCCCCTTGACAACTCCTGAATATAATGGAAGTAAAAGCACGTGATTCGAATCAATTGGAATCTATCTGGGAAGAGTGGAAACTCAGTGAGGCCAAGCTTTGCGGGCAGGAGCATGGTTGCACCGCGTATGCACTCAAGGTGACCCCCAGACATGGTCAGCAACAAAGACACCCCGCACCAACGAGCAATTTTTCATGCCTGTGAAACATATCAATCATACAATAGTCCCAGGAAATTTCAGAATACCATTTTGTGAGAGCTGTCATGAATTGTGGTGATGAGCCCCTGCCTTAGGCGCGGTGGCTTACATTCCCGGCGCTCCCTACAAACACAACACCACCCAACCGCCGACTCTTTTTGGCTCTTGTGGAGCATTTCACAAGCGACGTTCAATGATCATAACTCGCGATTGCAAAGTCGAATCACAACTATTTCGCACGTATTGTTGATGTAGCCTCTTCATCCTACCTGTACGCTCCTTCTTCCTCAGGCTGTGTGGGCCAGGCTCACAGTATAATCCACAACCGCACGGCCCTCCCTTTGTTGCCTAGAGGAAACCGCCTCATCCTGAGCGAGAAGGAACGGTTGCGGAAGGTACAGTGTGATTCCAACGGTTGGAAGGAAGGAGTAATACTAATGGGGGGGGGGGGGCGGTTAGATGGTTCAATGGGATGGTTCAAGGAGTTTGGTGGCCATGTTGAGCTACCATCAACTCTTTTCATATGAGAGTACTTGGAACAGTGTGTTTCTTCTCATTCATATAGATAGCAGCGAACTCTGTGGTATGGCAGTCTATTTAAACTGTTTGCTTGTGGCACTCTAGGCGGGGTCCAGCTCTCTGGAGAGACCAGGCATCACGAGGCCGTGGCATTTGGGTACGTCCGTCTTCAGGTACTCTTCAATATGTCTATCAACCAGCGAGTGAACACTCCTTTTACTAATAGGTGCCATCTACCCTCAACTTCCTATCAATTCAAAGAATACCTATGATCCTGTCCCAAATATCCTCGTCAAGCTCTGGGAGTCTGACAACGTTTCGCTCATACCAACCGCGTTCGAACTCCTGCCTATTACCTTCCGCCTCTCGATATATGGGCAGCTCCCAATCTTCGGGCATGATCTTCCTTCCATAATCGTTTTCCTCCAGGTCGACGTCCATAGCTTGATTCTTCTGCATGACCTTGCTCCAGAACGACAGGTGCCTCTCAAGGCCAAGGGCACCCAACAACGCAGCAAGCTTTTCGTCGGCATTTTCTCGCTCCTCGGCGAGGGTAGAAAGCATAGCAAAGTACTCCTTCGTTGTCGCGGCGTCTCCCTTTTCCACAATCCTGAGAAGCAGCTTGGTCCAGTGCGTAATCAGCACCGGATCGAGCGTACCCTCAAGCATTCTGAACTCGATGGTTCCCTTTACACGTGGGCCATTGCTCGGCTTCGTAAAATCCCACTTGAGCGCGCCGAAAGCGGTACCGCCCTTGCACCCACGAAACGGAGCGAGCTGGCCCAGAAAGCTGGCGAGGCTATCCGTAGCCCAGAGCTTGGCCAGCTGACCCCGCAGCTTCCGGGGCAAGTCATTCATGGGGACGTTGGCCTCCAAATCCAAGAGCACCTTGGACATAACTACCTGGAGGGGGTTGCTTTCCGATTTGTCATATGCATCCTCGAATTCAAACGCTGCGGTGTAGTCTGGCAAGTCCTCCGCCTTTGCGACAGTCGCTTCTAGGTGGAGAGGCTCCGTCATGGGACTCCACTGCCTCGACGGATGAACAAGGGTATAGAGAATCGGGTCAACAATCATGATCAACGTTGCTATACGCTTCAAGCTGTGCAGTGAAAAGCCGCGAACGCTACCCACGTGAACGTGAAGGCCACAGCTGATGTCCAGCATCGGTCTCAGCCCGCCGCGGAGGATCCTCAACACGTCGACTATCTTACCAAAATCTTTGGGCGAGTCACGTAAGATGGGACTGGACATCTCTATGCCGATGTGTCCGGCGTACCCCTTTTCACCGGAAGCCCAGTCCGAAAGGCTTGGGTCTCTCTCGATGTACCAGCACTGGAACTCTGCGAGGATATCTTCGAAGAAGTGAAGGTGACAGCCCATGGCGTCTGCGACGGATTGAATTCCGTCGATACAAACCTTGCCCTCGAACTTGTCCTGAAGATCAAAGATGGTGTCGAACGTGGCGCTAAAGTGGCCGGCGTCGCAGAGTATGGTTTCTAGATGTTTCGCCGATTCATCGTGAGCCTGGCCGCGCTCGTCTTTGGGTTGAGTGCCGAGGTATTTATCCATCAGATCAGCCAGCTCGTCGCGCTCATCCTGCGTAGTGGGCCTGCTCGGACTTGGGATGACATATGGAGTGAAATGGTCGTAGACCCAGCGCTGGTCTTTGATGCCTTTGCCAGTATACTTGGTGTTGGTGAAAGGAACGAGGAACTCGAGCTCAATGCCAAAGGTGTACGGGGACAAGTCTTCTTCTTCTTCGAAATTGATGGCGGGTCTGCGAAGGCGGTGGGTGTCGAGTTCCGGAACGAACGGGGTCCGGCCCAGAGGTTCGTAGTAAGCTGCTTGTTCATGGAGATTAATATCTTCAAGAAACTGAGTTGCTGTGTAGGAACCAGAGAAGCCAACCGCAGATCTGGGTAACTTCAGCTTCCCAAGCACACCTTCTACTCGATCCTCAGTCTCGTTCAAGCAAATGTTGACGATACCGTGACAAACCTTGATCCAGTTCTCGATGGCGGCGGAGTCTAATGTGCCAGCGTGCTGCGAGAAGCCTATGGTTCTCTTCGTAGGATCTCTGTCGAGGAGCCTAGAAAAGTCGTAGGCGCCGGGGAAGATGCCTGGTCGACCTTCCCAATCCCTGACGTGGATCTCGGTGCCATTCATTATGTCATTAAAGCTTTCGGTGGTATTGACACGGATAATTGCTTCGTTTTCAATGTCCAATCCGCGGATAGATGGTGGTTCGAGCATTTTGACCTTGTTAGCAGTGGGTAGTCCACGGGTGAAGAAGGCTTCGGTGGGCTCACCGCGCCATTCGGCATCAGAAAGGAAGGCGTGTATATCGGTGCTGAACATACGCGCAAACTCGAGACCAGGAGCAACCAGTGAGCCTGGGCCACAGTATGGCGCATGTAGCTCGTTCAGGCGAGGTGAGGCGAACCATAGAAAGTTGAGGATACGACGGACTTCTGGGAGGGTGAAGTCTCCCTCCGTGGGCTTAACTTCAACGCTGAGGCGCGGAACCTCGTTTAAGGCGATGGTGAGATTCTTCGAGGGTTTGAGAGCGGAGCATATTGAAATGATTATTGCCGAAGTATGTGGAGTCATGGGCATTAGCGGAGAACGAATACTGGCGAGGTGCCATCTGGGGGACCCAAGTATGTTGAGCTCTTGCTCATCCAACGAGATATTCCAAGCACCTGGATCAGGCTCTTGATGGTTTCCAGCACCATATGTGGTCACAAATGCGGTAGGTAGATCTATCTGGCGGAGACAGTTGGAGATGATGCAGACTAGATCTTGCTGTTCTTTTTCGATCACACCTTCATAGATTATACGGTCCACGATGCTGGCGTTTGGAGACTGACATACTACTAGTGACGATGCCTCCATTTCGGGGCGTTGAACGAGAAATTGAAGCACAACCCGGATCTTCAACTGTCGGTCGCCACTGGATTGCTGGGGCCTGTCCATTCTTCAGTTTCTTGATTTTCTTCTTGTAAGTTTGTTGTTTAGGGATAGTCTCGAGTTTGGGGTGTTGTGTTGTTATTGTATTTGTTTGCTGTTGTCCAGAATTTTTTTGGGTATTTACATCTATCATAATAATATTGTAATCGATGAGAATTTGTCCTGAATATGTAATGAACGACTTTCTAACATTCTAATTGCTTCCTGCTTGAGCCCCTAAACACAATTGAGTTGTGTCGCCTTGTGATGATTGCACAAAGATAAAGATCCATTGAATAACTTACAATCGCTTTGTTTCAGGACTAATAAAGACATTCTGAAAGCGCTTCTTTCCGAGAACAGCTGCCCATGATACAACTCCTTGTCTTTGAGTGACCGTTGACCTCGGTCAGTTCGGTGTAAGAGCTCGGTAGGTTCGGTGAAGCTGTCGGTGCCTGTGTGGGGCCTTTCGCGCTAAGCCCTTTTGGAGCTGGACCTGGGTCGGGAAACGCCGACCTGATTTTTCTGACGCGCCCTGCTGCTCTCCAATGCATTTCCAACGCGATCCACATCTCACAATCGGTGCAGCGCTCCCCTTCCAGCCTCAACACCACGGATACTTCCATCGGCGCGCAACGAGACATCCAACGATACAGCTCCACACGCACCCAACATTAGTCGCTAGAGTTACACGAAACCTCAATTCGTGTTTGCGCGTGCTAGGCGATTGCTCCGATTCGCACAGTCTCGTCTCGTCTCGTCCCGTCTCTCCCTCGAAGTGTCCCCGGCCACTTCTCCGCCGCCCATCGTCTTGCGACAACCTGCCATGACCCATTGGGTCTCATAGTCTCCCACCATGGACGCCCGACCGAAGCCCCAGGCGTTCCTGTCTACCTATGCGCCTCGAATCCGCGCCTACAATAACTCTCTCCTGACCCCGAACGTCGCCAGCGCTCCGGCCACGACCAACTCCCGAGTGACAAAGCGTGGCACAACCATCATCAACTACGCAGAAGACGGCTACGATGAAATCGACGATGACGAGGACAGCGGCCGCCGTCGCCCCACTGGGCTTCGCAGCCTGAGAAGGCAGGACGATTCGGCAATCAGCCAGGATCTGCTGGACAAGGCTGGAAAGGACACGGACGAGCCAGTCGAAGTACAGGGCATTTGGAGAGATTGGTTTGGCAAGGGACGTCAGGTGCGAAATGATCAGCAGAACTCGGCGCAAGCAGACCTGCCTTTGACCTTGATTCCCATCCGAATCGAACTCGATATTCCATCCTTCTTGCCCCAGGTCGCCTTTCCTTCGGCGCCTCACACCGTCGACACATCTCTCCCGCAATACCGAGCGCAAGAAATGACGCCGCCCTACCGGCTCCGCGATACCTTCCTCTGGAACCTCCACGAGACGGTCATCACGACTGAACAATTCGCGCAAACATACGTTCAAGACCTCGACTTGCCGAACCGTCACAACCTGATGCTTGATATTGCCAGGCAGATTCGGACCCAGCTTGAGGAGTATGCTGGTGTTGCCCTGCATCCCTTGTTCCACGCGCAGTCGCAGAACTCTGGAACCAACGACGCGACCAAGCCGAACTCGATGATCAACCAGGACGAGATGCCCACGCCTGCCGCAGTGATCAGCCGCTCCGACACTCCGATGCTAAACGGCGGCATTGGAACGCCATCCCGAGTCAAGGACGCGACATCAGCACCAGACGTCACAGCCCACGCAAGCCCTATCCCGGTTGACTCGGATGAGTACGACCACGACGACGCTTACCGGTGTATCGTCACCCTCAACATCAACCTCCAGTCAGCATTGTACACAGACAAGTTTGAGTGGTCTCTGCTGCACCCCCCGGGCATGCCGGAGGCCTTTGCCAGCCAAACATGCCAAGACCTTGGATTGACGGGTGAGTGGGTTCCTGCCGTCACACATTCCATCTACGAAGCAGTATTGCGCCTCAAGAAAGAGGCCTGTGAAGCGGGTGGGTTGGTGATGGGCTGGAACGGAGTACGAGAGTTCCCCAACGATGCCACGGCTGGAGCTGACGCCGGATGGCGCTACGATCCGGAGAACCTGGCCGATCCCTGGGAGCCCAAGGTCGAGATCCTCAGCAAGGAAGAGATGGAGAAGCGAGAAGGCGACAGAGAGCGGCAAATTCGTAGACTTCGCCGCGAGACTGCTCGCTTCAGCTCCACTACTGGCTTGGTGGGTGGCGTGCCATTCTCTGGATTTGGCAATGTGGTGGAAGCTCCGGAAGAAGAACGTATGGGCAGAGGCGAGCGGTCCAAGAAGAAGCGTCGCTTCCGCAGTCTGAGCCCGATAGGCCGATCTGGAACCCCTGGCGGACGCGGAACGCCAGACGTGGGATCCGGATATGGTGCAGGAAGCGGCTTGACGGACACAGAGCGCTTATCTTGGAGATGCTGGCACTGCTGTCTCTGGGGCTCGAGTGTGTGGGCGGTGAGACCTGGACCTGCAGGACCACGGGTGAGTTCCCAATTCGGCAGTGAAGAAGATGCGTGGGCTAACAGGAAAACAGTCGCTTTGCCAAAACTGTGGATTGCTGTACGAGCGGGACGGCAAGTTGCCTCGTCAAACCAAGAATATGCATCTTACGGTCATCCGAACGGCATAAGAGAGAAAGATGGTGCCTTTCACTTGTCACTTCATGGACGAGGACGTCGGTACCAGCTAGAAAGCAGGGCGAGAACGAGAAAGAGATAAAGAGACATGATCCGGTGTGAAGGACGCATCGGATGATCCAGAAGGAGAACTGTGCGCTGTGGACCAGTTCTTTGTGTACATGATGCGCAGGCGGCGGTTCTGGCAGGCAGGCGTTTTACTGGGGATAATCTGGCCCTGGCCTACTGGGCAGGGCAGTCAAAGGAGTCCGCTGCGAGCAGGGTTGCGCGATATTCCAGTTGTTTTCGGGCTAATTACGGTCGAGGTGTCCCTTTGTCGTACGGGGAAGTACTGTAGACTATGTGTAGAGATCCAATATACACATAGACAAACATCCATGGGGCTGGTATTTTAGCTGTTGTGACTAGGACGGCAATAACCGACGGTGAGATGACATCGTGAGTAGAGGGGCAACTCGAGAATGAATTAAAGGTACTGTGTGTATTTTACTGTATGAGAGACAACTAACACAGTCCCCTCATTCACTTCAATCACCTGGGTCTTCTCATCCCTCAAACTCCCCTCTAGATTTCATTCTTCATCTCAGAAGAAACACGTGAAGGTCACTCACCTTCCCGACAACCGCCCATCATTCCGAACTCATTTCCGAAATTCTCAAGAAAGTACACTACGGCGAATACCCGCGGCCAGCGCCAGGCCACATGTTCCCCTGCCCAACGGCCAGCGAGTGCGACGTCGTGGCAAAGGGGAAGGCCAGAGATGCCGAATCGGGACGAGAAAAACCACGGAGCTCGTCGACCGTCAGCCTCCGCGAATTTTCCCACGAAAAACTTGACGCTTTCCCCTTGTTGGCATGTCATGTCGCCGGGTAAACCCTTTTGATGGGGTAAGGTAGGTAAGGTAGAGTTAGAGTTAGGCTCTTGCTCCTCTTCTATTCCCGTCTGGTCCTTACCGTGTGTCCTCCCTCTACTCTCCAACTTAGGTACTACGTGGAGAAACCGACTGGCTAAACAGCCCTCCCCTCGCCCCTGGTTTGCCGACTTGGAGACGAGTCACTGGGATTTCTCCGGGCGGTACCTGACTTTCAGGCTGGCCTGTGAGGCAGTATCGCCTCGCCCTGCCCGTCACTTTCAAATCTGCGCGTATCACAGATCTGGGACGAGCGTGTAGTGGTGGTGGTAGTGGGGGGAAAGTGGCTGCTCGCTTCTGCGCCTATGCCGAAACAGAGGAATCTGCGCATGGTCAAGTGACTCTGGCATCTCCACCATGGGATGGCCGCAGGCATCTTGGAGAGAGAGGACTCTTTGAGAAGGACGGCTGGCCAGCCGACGGGAGCTGACTTGAGCTTTCTGCTTTATCGACCCATTGAGCTACGATCAGCGAAGCCTGAGCTGCGCCCGAAGGCGCTCGATACCAAGCTCGCGCCCGGCTGCCATCACTGAAAGATGGCAAGGAGAGCCAGCCTTGCGCGTTATTATGCTGGCACCGCCCGATATTCGCGGTGGTTCTAGCTTCCGTTGGATATGTTTGGACACGATCTTGACTCGTTGGCGATAAGCGGATCTACCTGCCCTCCTCTCGCCGTCATCATATCAGACGCGTTTGCGTTCATCGGATGTTGACGACGTTCATCCCGTCATCGTTAACTCCAAAGGAGGCGAACTACGACATTGCCAGCCATATCTGCTACCCACCCATCAGTTACGCGAGGAGGGAAGGGTCTCTGTAGCATCCCGCTCATTTCCGGCTTCATTTCGATGCTGTCCCATATTGCGGCGGTCCGGCTGGTGCCGACGATGACGGGTGCGAAGGGGAAGGGTTTCATGTTCCTGAGCTCTCAGGACGACCGTATGAAAGCCCAGGAAGACGAGTCCGAGATCGAGGAGGGTAATTCATTTCAACCTATGCATGTAACCTCACAATAGATTGGGTATGCAGCATGTGTGTGCCTACGATAAGGCACCTCTTACAAGCGCTCACGGCTTTCGTTCCCTTTGTTGCCGATCAGCCCAGCTAGTCGGCTCAGCAGCCGGAGGGGCTTCTCGTCAAGCTGTCGTGAGACTTCCAGGAATAGAGCTAATGGGGCCCCACGAGGCTCGTTACTTCGGCTTCGAAGCCGTTCGTGTCCCGGTACCTGCAAGTTGGTGTTCCATAAGACAGCACGACTACCTAAGCACGGAATGGTCTCGATTCGGATGTACGCAAGGGGAAAAGAGCTCATCAGTACCTGACTTCTAGCAGCCATCACACTACGACGCAGCGAGGATCCCTCAGATCTATCTTCGATTGAGGCCTTTCGGAAACCCATGCTCCAGGGGCGGATGTCCTTCGCCTACGAAAGCCTCCTCGCTTGTGTAGCCATTATCGGCGAGGTCCCAGACGATCAGAGTGAGACAGTCATTCGAAGGACGTCGTTGAATTTGTCGCGGCTACCAACGCTGATCACCACCGAATCCGGTTCACGCTCTGGACCTTTGCCACGGATTGCTACATTTGGAGGCTGAGCTCAAGCTTCTCAAGCTTTTCAACCTCTCGTTCGCCCAGAAAGTTTAGTTCTCTGGTCATCACGGGTAAATTCAAAAGCCCTCTTGGCAAGTTGCGACGTGGGGCTGTTGCGTGTCTAGGCGGTAGAATCTTGGCTTCGCGAGGTTTCTTTCTTACCCAACGTCGGAACCGGGTTGTCGTTGAGTGACATCGCACCGTGATGAACCCCAATAAGGATGTTCTACAATATCCGTACCGCAATACCGAAGTACCGCAGTCTCTCCAGCCACATACACACATACTCAAGGTCCAGACACACACCTGCAGAGAGGCAACGTGACCAGTCACAAGTGGTGTGGTGGCAGGCCCTGCTCTTAATGCATGCAATATGGGACAGCACCTCCCGCCTCCAAATTGAATCAGGGCTCCATTGAATCTCGCCCCAATCTGTTTCTGAACCCATCGGTCTGGTAGGCATTAATTGGCATTGATTGAAAAGCGTTGATCAATTAATCAAGTACGTAAAGCTTAGAGAGTCAGGCTGGGGCCAGCATATTGGCAGGACAGAGCCGCTTCGCTTGTCAAACGAGTTTGACGACGTCAAGATTCAACGACGAAACTCTCGTCAACGACATGCCTGAAGACCACGGAGATTCAACCCTGGCTGGCGTCCCAAAGAATGAAAAAATGTGGCGTTCTCTCTCTCTCCGCACAAGCAAGGAACAGAGCGGGCGCGTGGCAGTCAGTGCCGGATGGCTAATAGCGTTTTGCGGGGAGAAGGTTCTCTCTTCCCGCTCATGATGTGCAAACGTAAAAGTCCGGGAGCCTGGAGGTGGGCGATCCCTGCAAATTGCGGGGACCGAGATGCCTAAAACAACTCTTCGCGTATCTCTAATTTTCTTATCAGTCGAATCACCAGAAGGAGTTCGAAGTCGCGTCCCTCCTGGTGGTGTGAAGAATATGTGTGAGTGAGAGTGCGAGTGAGAGTGAGAGTGAGAGTGAGACTTCACTCAGGGTCACTCAAGTGAAGGCAGACTAACAATGAATGTACCAAGTCTGGCGGGATCTTCGGGATGCCAGCACGATCACGAGGGATGCAAATTCATTTCCTTCTTCCCCATGCGAGATGATTCGGGTTATGCCATCTCACGATATCGGCCTCCCACTCTGACCAAAAAAATCCTGGTATTTTCTTTTGTGACGATTCGAGGCGCGTAGTACTCGGCGCATGGCCTCCGTGCTAGGCGCAGGGGTAAGAAAAGTGCTCCAATGAGGAAAGCCGCGGGGACAAGTCCGCATTAGGAACGAGAAACTTACCACCACCTCAACTCACCTCATCGCTCTCTCACACGCACACATGGCACGCCTTTTCTGTGCGACCCGGTTCTCCGTAGTGGGAATGGGATGTGTGAGTGTGTGTGACCAGCCGCATGGCCGGATGTGACATCGTGTCATTTCTCTCTGTGGCTCGGGACTGAGGGCGAGAACCTGCGAGCCTACGCGTAAGGGCTTAACATATGTTGTGCTAGCAAGCAGGTGAGTACCGCTCATACATTCTTAGTCTCTATTCTTACTACTCTGAGAACTACTATTATTACTCCTATTTCTTCAACCCTGTGCTCTCTGCCTATTCCTTTGGTAATATGTTCTCATAAACTTAGGAGGGAAAGAATAATGAAGGTAGATGTGATTAAAAAAAGGGTGTTGCTCATGTGTTGGCCGGCATACTCTCTGGTCACCCACTCGGCTAGGTTGTGTCTGTACCTTGCGGCTTACCCCAAAATCGAAGCAAAAGCGGTGCAGTTTCTCCAATTGCCTATTCGGGCAAACAAAGCACAAACTTTGGGTTGACGACGACGCATCGTGGGAGCCGTGGTTCCTGGCACTTACACCCGCTACCCCCTCCCCCTCCCATGCTCCATACCACCTGGACTGCCAGGACTTAGTCAATGTGTTTAGGTGTACCCCTAGATCATGGTCAGTCCAAGTCCAGCTGGTACCTTGGACTCCAGATCGCTTGCGGCCCGGATGCCGTGAGCTCCTTCGGATCCTCGCTTCCTCGTCGCTAGGCTAGTCGATCATGGGGTTGGATGTCACATCGAACCAAGCTTGAAGAGTGGAACGCGGCTGTAGAAGAGGCGAAAGACTCAAGAATCCGATGGCAAAGTATCATCAAAGACTGATCAGATATCCCTATATAAGTCCATCGAAACTCCTCATCCAGAAAATCCCATTCCCCATCCCTCTCATCCTCATCCCCAAACACCCATCCCTCCCTCAACACCACCACAGTCCAAGCATTCAAAATGCAGACCAAATTCGCCGCCCTCCTCGCCCTCGCGGCGGCCGCCCGCGCTCAGCAAGTCTGCACCTCCCAAGCCGAGACCCACCCGTCCCTCACCTGGCAGAAGTGCGCCGCCGGAGGCACCTGCACCAACGTCGCCGGCTCCGTCGTCCTCGACTCCAACTGGCGATGGGCGCACACCGTCGAGGGCTCGACAAACTGCTACACGGGCAATACGTGGAACAGCACCCTCTGCGCTAGCGGACAGGGCGCCGCCTGTGCGACAAAGTGCTGTGTTGATGGCGCGGACTACCCGGGCACCTACGGCATCACCGCCAGCGGCAACGAGCTGAACCTCAAGTTCGTGACTACTCACGCCTATGGAAAGAACATTGGTAGCCGTGTTTACCTCATGGAAAATGAGAGCAAATACCAAGCCTTCACGCTCTTAGGTGGCCTAACCCCTTTGGTCTTGATGTCGATGTTCGAAGACTGACTTTGACCAGGCAACGAGTTCACCTTTGACGTCGATGTCTCCAACATTGGCTGCGGCTTGAACGGAGCTCTGTACTTCGTCTCCATGGACCTCGACGGTGGTCTGTCCAAGTTCTCTACCAACAAGGCTGGTGCCAAGTACGGTACCGGATACTGCGACTCGCAGTGCCCCCGCGATGTCAAGTTCATCAACGGTGTTGTAAGTGACAACTCCTAGTTTTCAAACTCGTATATTCAAAGCTCACATATAAAATTAGGCCAACGTCGACGGCTGGAACCCCTCCAGCAACGATGCCAACGGTGGTGTCGGTAACCTCGGTGCTTGCTGCGCTGAGATGGATATCTGGGGTAAGCCTCAACCCCCTATTCCACTCCAACACATCAACATGAACCACCAGACTAACAACCAAAACAACAGAGGCCAACAAGATCTCCACGGCCTACACCCCTCACCCCTGCCAAAACAGCGCCTACCACTCCTGCACAGGCAACGCCTGCGGCGGAACCTACTCCACCGACCGCTACGCCGGCGACTGCGACCCCGACGGATGCGACTTCAACTCCTACCGCCAGGGCAACAAGCTCTTCTACGGCCCCGGCTCGGGCTTCACCCTCGACACCACCCAGAAGCTCTCCATCGTCACCCAGTTCATCAAGGGCTCCGACGGCGTCCTCTCCGAGATCAAGCGCTTCTACGTCCAAAACGGCAAGGTCGTTCCCAACTCCGAGTCCACCATCGCCTCGAACCCGGGTAACTCCCTCACCACCGACTTCTGCACCAAGCAGAAGCTCGCGTTCGGCGACACCGACGTCTTCAAGGCAAAGGGTGGCTTCGCCAAGATGTCCGAGGCCGTCGCCGCGCCCATGGTCCTCGTCTTGTCCCTCTGGGACGACCACTACGCTAACATGCTCTGGTTGGACTCGACCTACCCCGTCGACGGCGCAGGCAAGCCCGGCGCCGAGCGCGGCTCGTGCCCGACTACCTCTGGTGTTCCCGCCGACATCGAGGCCAGTGTTCCCAACTCCAACGTCAAGTTCTCCAACATCAAGTTCGGCCCCATCAACTCCACCTTCGCCTCGGGCTCCGTCGTCGTCCCCCCTGGGACCGGTACGACTACCACCTCTGCCCGCCCCAGCACCATCACGACTTCAGTCCGCACGTCGTCTACCGCGCCTGCTACCGGCACCGTTGCAAAGTACGGACAGTGTGGCGGCCAGGGATGGACTGGTGCTACTGCTTGCGTTTCTGGCAGCACTTGCACCGTCGTCAACCAGTGGTACAGCCAATGTCTCTAGATGGATGTCGAAGATGGTTGGCGCTCTTTGCCGCTAGCCTGTTGACAGTGACGAGTTGAAAGATTTGGATACAAAGGGGATATAAAGGGAAGCATATGTGGAAGGGATTAAAAGGAGGATGCGGAACTCGACGAAAGCTTCCCCTCTATTTCGCATTGTTTGCATTTCTCTTGGAATTTATTGAAACGAAGAACACATGATTCATGTATATATTCTCAACCATTTTCTCACACACTGAGCGTGCTTCTCGCGCCTGGTGTATCAGTATATAAACCAAATCATTCGCTTACTAAAAATCTGTTCTTGAGGTGCTTCGAAATTTGACTGAACCTCTTCAACTTCAACACAACCCGTGACATGTTGCCTGTCTGAAGTTCTCGCTCCTATAACTAGTGGCATGACTACTTCCATAGCCATAATCCCTATCATCATCTGCATTGTGACATTCATCAGAGTCAAGGAGTCCTCAGCAGTACAAAGGGGATGAAACGTATGCTGATCTGATAGCTGGGATTCGCCTCGATCCTGTGGTTCATTTCAAATTATTGAACAATCAATGGCCGAGTCCAGCACGCAAAAGCAGTTGTATATCAAATGTGACGCCGAGTTTTACGCCTTTCTATTGTTAAATCATGATCCGTGACTGTCCACTATACCTACCATGCGGAGGCGCATCGCTGCAACCGCTGTCCGCAAAATCAATTCAAAACCTCCCGCCGCCTGTGACTCCTTGGTATACGGTATATAATACACACACGCCAATACCCAAACAAAGACACTGCTATTTGCTCTCCCCTTTTTCCACATTCCTAGGGACAAAATCATGCTTGTGGCCAGACGCTCGCGGCAGGGCTCGGGTTGTTCATGCCCATGTTGAGAATAGCATCGATATCGCTCATGCCCTCATTTTCCAGGACATTCAAAAGCTCCACCTGCTGTTGCTGGCTCAGACTGCCTTGTCTCTCTTGTGACCAATTGAACGGACCGCCGAATTGATCAAGCCCCAAACCGGGGTTTTGTGAGTTGAAGCCATTGACCTGCAACGAGTCGCCAAAGAAACTGTTGCTCATCGAGCTGAAGGCGTCGGGGTTGATGAACGGAGGTGGCGGGTTAAACCAGTCCGTTGTTGGGTTGTAATTCGGCAGCGGGCGTTGTGGCGCGCCGGGATTCGATGTCGGCGGTGCACCAAAGCCACCAGGTCCTCTACTTCCAGGAACAGGCGGCGGAGGCGGTGACATGTTGGTGCTGTGCTGAACCATTGTTGGTGTTCCGTGCTGCAGAACAAGTGGCGAAGACTGCGACATGGCCGGAGTTCCCATCGGGGGTGGTGAGATGGTCGAGCTTGAAGGTGTACCTACGGGGCCGCTGTTGAACGAATCTGGCGGTGTGGGCATAGCATTGTTGATGGTGCTAGGAGGCGATGAGGATGAATTGTAACCAGGCGTGGTCGTCGCCGGCGGTGTAGAGTCTTCCAGTGGTGACTCGGGAGGATAGGCGGAGAAGCGGCGACCGCCCGGATTCATGTTCGGGTTAGCATCACCAGATGAGTTGCCCCAGATCGAGTTGGAACGGAACGTTGGGTGAGGAGGGAAGTTGGGATCCCATTGGTACGTGTTCATCGACTCAGGGGTAGCGTCGAAAACGAAGCCAAACTGTGGCGGGTTATGCGGTGGGTTAACCTTGAACGTCGGTCCACCACCTGGCGCTGTTGATGCTGAGACCTCTGAGCCCTGAGGAGAGTTACCGTCAAAGAGCGAAGGAGGCGTCGTGAAAGTACTTGACGCTTGTAGGATCGGGGTATCTCTGGCCTCGTAGCTCTGGAGGCATGCCTTGGCAAAGATGGAGTAGAGCTGCACAGCCTGAGCAGTCCCCGGCCAGCGCTCAGTGCATCGCTCCAGAATATCCAACGTCTGATCACTCAGCTCTTCCACCTCATCGCGGGGGTGGGCCTGCCGGATCTCGGGATACGAGACCGTCCAGAGCAGTGTGTTGAGAGACATGTAGAGATTGAGGAGGAACACCCAAGTGATATCGACTGCTGCTTTTTCCATCTGCTGCTTCGACAAGTTGATAATATATGACGCCCCTTCGAAGCAGATGCTCGCAGCTCGTGGTGAGGGTTTCGGTACTTGCGGGGATGGCCGGTAAAGGAAGATGCGCATCTGGTGGTAACGTCCAGTGAACCTACAGACAATCGGTTAGAAAAGTCCAGTCTCGTAATGAAAAAGGCCAGTACACACCATGGCCTACACCAAGCCGGATTCTGAGGCGAAGAATCAATCCAGTTCTGGATGTCTCTCTCCATCTTTGCGAACCAGGGGTGGCTCTCATCCCTGGGCTCTTCGCGCTTCTTCTCGTAGAGTACTCTCCTGATCTCAGCCTGCTCCATGCGCATCTTGAAGAAATGCAAAGCCACCAGCTTGTTCTCGCTTGGAGGCCCCTGGCCGATGCCGTCGGCCGTGATGTACTCGTCGTCCACAGTCGCAAATGGCTCCACATCCATTCGGTCGTCAGCCTTGGAAAATCCATTTGGTCGGCCCATGCTATGTGCCAGGCCAGCTTCCATGGAGGTGATGATGTAGGCAAGGCGGCGGCGCATATCCAGGGTCAAGGGATCCAGGAGGTTCCCGGCGCCAATGGTCTTCTCATCAGTCAAGCCTTCTGCTTGACAAACGCGCGTAGCCATACCAACCATGTAGTATACAGCGGTTCTCGTGGGAGTCAGGAGGGAGTATTGACCGATGAGCGCCAGACTCTGTAGAGACTTGAGGTCCTTTGGCCGGGCCACTTGCTCAAAGTGTTCCATGGCAGCCAAATAGTAGCTGTCGGCCAGACCGGCATACTGAGGATCCATCTTCTGGAGCGAGATTGCAAACACCATGCGGACGATGAGGTTCTTGTAGGGGTCTTGGTCACCAGCATACACTGCCTCTAAATCGCCCAAAAACATTTTCTCGTGCAATGTTGGCCAGAATACCTGGGCTGTTCATTAAAAGTCAGACGAGGGTTCAGCCGAGAACGAGGAGGGGGTTCACTTGCATCGTTGGCAAAAGACATCCACGAGCTTATTGGCGATGGGTCTAGTCGGCAGGCTCTGCGCAGGGTAAGCGCTGATCATGGGATAACTCTTCTTTCGATCCCTCGTCATGACAATAGACTGCATGCGCGTCATCCTCCGCGCTCGAACTTCGGGAATCAACTCTGAGATTCGCTTCGAGTCGGTGAAGAGCTTTGCGCCCTGGACCAGCAAGCGTGTCATTGCGATGCCGCTACTCGGACCCAGGTAGCGGGGCGTCTCGTCGGTATCATTCAGGCGAACCAGGCCGCCGGGCCGCACGATATCCTCGTCGAGATGGGAGAACTCGCTGTCGTCGTCGGTGTACTGGCGTAGCTCGGCCTCGAGGGCGCGCACCTTTTCTTGCAGCTTAATGACATAATTACGGTTGATCTTCTTTCCCTTGGTAGTATCGTAGTATTCGCAAACTGAGCCGGCGCGTTCGCACGGCAGGCAACGAGGTAGAGTAGGGTCGCATCTTGTTTTACGCTATAGAGTTGTACAAGTCAGCCGTGGTCTACGAAACGCGATATACATGTTCACTCGTCGAGGGCCCAGGAAGAGCCGGGTTTACGGAGAAAGGCTCCGACGTACCTGGCGGCAGCGGCAGCAAGCCGTCAGAGTGTGGGCAATGCGATTGGAGGGGCCGTCACTCTCTGGATCTTCGCGACTGGTGGGAGGAGCGCGGGAAGGGCCCGGGTAGAGTTGGGGAGGAGCGTTGGGAGGCGGGTGGTGATGATAGGGCGGGTTTCGTGGCATCATGTTGCCCAGGCCATGACGGTAGATGTCCATGGGCCGGGATATAGAGACTGAGGCTATTCGCCCAGTCAATCTTTGTGTGTCTAAGCGAGGAGATCACAAAGACGCCTTATGGTACAGACGGTGATTTGCCTTTGCCTCGCGGAGAAAGCTTGCAGGGAGCCGGCGAGGGCGGGTAAGGTAGTATGTAGTCGTCGTTGAGGGTTGTTCACGATGAAGTGGGTGTCGTTTACGGGGCAGAGGCGTACGTGGGCGAAGGGATCGGTGGAGCGCAAGGGCGGGCAGAATGTCTCATGGTTCGGCTGACGAGGGATTCGGTAGTAGGTCGAGGGTATCGTGAAGAGAAAGAGGGTCCTCTTGTCTCGCCAGTCGCGTGTGCGGTGGACTCTGGACTCGACGGTTGTATAAGGTAGGCTATGTTTGTACGTCGGGCTGGGTATGGACGGATAGGTGCAAGAGGAGACGGAGACGTGCAGCGGGCGTGAAGAGACGACAAGGTCCACAATTGAAGGTGTCGCTATTTGCTTCTGCTGTCTGCTGCGCCGAAAAAGGTGACAAAGTACGGAGTACAGGGCAAAGCGACCGGGAGGAGAGGAGTGCCCTGGAGTGCCGTCCAGTTGATTGTCCGCCCGCAATTCCGCAAGGCGTGGTGGTCACCTTTTGCTGGCCTGGGGGTATTTGAGTAGGTAGGTATGGAGTCCTCCATAACCCGTACATTTAGGTACGCGTAGAAGGTCGTCACTGTCAACGCTCTACGGTAGGGGAGGTACTTCAGTCTGCTGTCGTGCTCGGTACCTGTGGGCGATGTTGAATGGGCATGGGCGGTGGTCCAGCAGAGCAGGGCAGGGAAGGCCGGGGGGTTGAGAGGAGAGATCCTGGGAAGAGAGGAAAAGGTACATGAAGACTAGTCGCAGACCAGGGCACAATGAGGCGAAGTGGGATGTACTACCGAGGTACAGAATGGGAGACGTGCTGAGGCGGGAGCTGGACGACAGCCCAAATGCGAGGAATGGAAGGCACGACCTGAAGGTCAAAGGTCAAGGACGCTACCCTCGCTACCCACTCGCAAGGTCTCGGCTGTTCATTCGCTAATCAGAGGAATCGGCCAGGGCGACAGTCAAGGTTCGCGGGTACCAGGTGTCGGTAGGGGCGTTTCAGAACCATTGCAGTGGGGACCTTAGCAGAGCTTCGTTAAGACTGGACGACCTGACACTCCCGTTCCTTTCTTGAGATACCTTGCACAGTAACATCATCTCCATTCCCGTGCTTCATCACGATACTTGAACGAGTGGCAGGAGGGGAATGCATCATACAGGTGACAGAGAAGGGAGCATCGAATAACGGGATGAAGACTCCAAAGACTCGTCACAGTCGCAACGGAGGTGGGCGCGGTAGGTGGGCGGGATCCAGGATGAAGGGATCCATAATCCCATAGTCCATTCCGTGGATACGGAGTATGGACACTGACTTCAGACAAAAATGTCCCATGCGCCGTGGATACCTACACACTACACTAGAGAATACTAGCTAGATACTGAGGTGGTGCGAAATGGCACTGACTGGATAGTGAAGTGGACAGCCCAAAGGGTTAACCTGCTTCATTGGGGCCGTTAGAGACAGGTACAGTATCCATACAGGATAGTCATGGCGGCATCATCCATGGCCGTGGATACACAGATCCATACAATCGCCAACAAATCCGGCAGACGGGCCAAATATCTCCTCGTCTGGAAACCAGCCCTACCTGGCTTCGAGGCGTGGGTTAACGAGTTTGGGGTCCGCGAGGTCTGAACAGGCTCAAACCGAGTGGGTGAGCAAGAGGGCAAGATAGGAAGGCGGGCAGCAATAGCACGGCACATGCGGAAATGGCATGCATGGGAGCGGCTATTGACTGACAATTCCCGGCTTGGGTTTGTTCTTGTGCTGGGAACCTGGACGGTTTTGTGAGTGGTTTTTCTCGTTTTATTTCGTTTTTTGATTTGTATCCGTATATATGTGTATTCGGTGAAGATGGTTATCGTGTGCGTAATTCATCTGAGGGGAGAGGTGAGGAGTGTCGTTGTGGCTGACTGATGCAGAACGCACCTGTCTGCACCACCTTACTCGAGAGAGGTCAAGCGAGGACCTTTCGCTCCTTCTTCTGCCCATGGCCTTAGCTCCTTCCGGCTGCCAAAAAGTCAAAGCACAGCCATCCAAGTCTCTGGATCATTGGATGCTTGACTCTTGACACTCAAGTTCCTTCCTGTCTCTCAATCCGTGTGCCTGCCGTGCCTGCCTCATCCCACCTGGCACCCAGCACCTCCCGCGTCCTGACCCCCCAGTGTGCCCCGCCCCTGCCCTTCGAAAGAGGTCGGCCTTGCCCCGCTCTTTCCTTCCTTTCTGCTTCCATGATCATCTCCCCCAAAACTCTGATCATCTGATTCGCCACAGTCTCTACTTGCGAGATCCACCTATCCAAACAGTCAAACACCATTGAGGCTGGGCTTTCCTGTCGAGACGCGGCAGGAGGGCCCAGGGAAAGCACTGCTGCTGGCCTGCTGCACTGGGAAGCTGCACTGGGTAACTGGGAAGCTGCGATTTGCAATGCGTAAAAAGTTACGACTCCGAGTGCAAGAGCGAGTGAGAGACATGCAGCCGATCCTTCCATTCCCAGGCTTGGATGTGTGTGCCGGTGCCCACCAATGACATGTCGTGCCCGACTCACCCTTTTCTCACATTCCCATCTCAACTTCCTCATCGGACTCGACTGCCACCACCTCCGGTCTGACGGAACACCCACCCGGTAGCATTTCTACCTCGCCATCCCGTCCCTTGCTTCCCCCCAGGCCGCCCAGTCCACGTTACAAGGCGGCGACCATCAGCATCTATTCTTTGGTACCCGGCACGGGTTTGGACACGCATCACCATCATCAGGGAAAGACGCCGTACTGATTGATGCCTACGTAGTACGTCCCTGATGCAGAAAATACGATGAACACATCCATGCACCACCACAACAGACGCGCCCGCACATCCACCAGGAGAAAATGCCCCAAATGGAATGACGGATACATGACTAACCGCCGTCAACCACCAGCCTCCCATGATCTTCATCTATCCGTACTCCGATCTTCCAGAACCCTACAGAGTACGGAGTACAGGGCAGAATACAGGCAGCCTACGGATACAGAGCACGAAATATCCTTCGTCACACCGTCTCTTCGTCCGCGGCCGCCGCCCAACGCCGCTGCATGCATTCGCGGCTCTGTCCCTTCTACCCCGCCCTAATCCTCATTTCGAAGGATTCCCGACGCTCGACGAGCCTTTTCTGGACTGAACCCTTGATTCGGCTGCACTAGCACACGCTGCCCTTGCCATTTCTGACCTGGCATCCAGGCTTGTCGATTTCTAAATTCTCTGTCAAACATTGAGGATTCGACCTGACTTGGTCCTTTTGGTATAGGTACACCACTCTAGGTGCGCTCTACGCTAGGTCTTCCAACGCTACAGAGTACCTACCTCCGTCTACGGATCCAGCTCCTGGCCTCATCGTGTCATTGAATCAACAATGATACCCCTTCAAGAGGCACATTTCAGGGGCCTTCCTCAAGCGCTACTTACCTCGCAGTATTTCTCTCGAGATCGACGACCCAAAAGACAAGGTTCACAGGGAACGGAAAAAGAGGGAAAAAATGACAGAAAATTTTCAAGAAAAAAAGTCAACATCAGTCGTCCAAAACAATATCGCCTTGTGGGACGGAAACAACGGCGTGCCCTGCATGAGACGACATTTTTCATGGACCCCTCAGCAAGTGGGGGAAATCCAAGCACCCACGAGCACCACGACACCAGCACCAGTACCAGGACGAGCACGGCACGGCACTTTTCTAGCCTCTGGCTCCCATTTGCGAGGGGGATTCGCGCCATGGCTGGCGCCATTATGCACATCTATTGGCGCCGCTCAAGTGGTTTTTTGTCTCAGTCCGGACCTGCAGCAATACAACTGTCTTGACCGTCCTTCTACAGGACCTGTCAGTCTGGCGTGGCATTTCGGTCTGGACACGCCCATTGCAAAGACTAGAGGGCGTTGGCGGCTTCTTCTGAGTCAACCACTGCACTTCCTCTGCCTATCTCAAGTGACGATCCCCAAGACTCGAGATGCTCGCCACGAGCCCACCTCAACTGATGGGCATACGTACGGTGTATCAGCAGCCAAACAGAGCTCCTCTGCGTGAGCTTTCATAATCATCACCTTATCACGTCGCAAGATCCACGTCTCCGTCTTTTTCGTCCCGAGTTGCCAGTGCCATTTCCCGCTATGCCCGATTCGGCGATGCGCACCTTGTGTGCTTGGCAGACCGCGGCAAGCCAAAACGCAATTCACGACTGCAACACATGGTGCTCGCTGTCAGCATCGTCTTGGCTCTCATCTTGTTTCTCCTGTGCGGCTGGCCTCGTCGCTTCGATCGATTAAACGCCTACAAGGGTTGTACGGCGCGGCCGAAGAACGACGAGCTGGGCTTAAAAAAAAAACATGATTCTGGAAATGCCGTGCAATGCGCTCGGCAGCTCATCTATCTGGTGATGGAAGGAGCGTGGGGCCAGCAAGATCCTCGTGCCATCAAGAAAACGCCTCTAGCTTCGCCTCTACCGTCTGTAGTCACCTATCACAGCTTGGAATACGTCGAAATACATACGAATGTTCGGCCTGGTAGACCCGAAGCAGGCTTTCGCCTACATATGAACAGACGTTCAAGGTCAAGGTCGAGCCTTCGAGGCCGGCTGGCGCTGGCGAATAAGTCGACGACGTCTACGGTCTTGGATGTGAGACGGGTCCAAGCAGAACCTTATCACTACCTACGACGGCCGCACTCTCGGTCTGCCGGCCCCCAGGCTGTCACCCCCTTGGCCCCTGGCGGTCTTGAGCTTCTCCTCTTGTTCGCGGATCGTCGGATTCGCGGTTCGTCTTCTATTTTTGTTCCAGAATATTGCATCTGCCGGTTCCAAATTGCATCGTTGGCACGTTGTGTCGTCAATCCTCGTCGAGATCGGGGGCCCCGACGACGGCCTGTCCCCCGTCCAAGAAATAGAGCTGCAGAGAACCCTGGAAGCTTTCTCAGCCCAATATCCATCGACAAGCAGCCCAGGGGAAGAAGAGAAGGGGAACGGGACGGGCTTTATCTGGCAAGGCAAAAAGAGGGCAGTCAGGGTTCAGGGGTGGCTTGTACTCTGTACTTCCAGTGTCCATTCCGTGGCCCACCGTGCCCGCCTCCCACAGCTTTCGTCAGGTTCAGGGAAACGGAGCCCAGGCGGGGTAACCGTCGACCCTTCAGTCGGCGTCGGTCGCACAAGAGAGGGGAAAGGCCGTGTCAACGACTGTGCCGCCGATCTCCAGCACAAAGAGAGACTCGGAGTCTCATAGTCTCGCTCCCATAGATTACGCCGCCGTTGGATGCGCCTGGTGGCAGCACCAAAGTTACAAGCTACAACCAACCATCCCCGCGCAATACGAACCCCCCAAACCGTCCAGCCCAGTCCACCTCAGTCCAGGTCAGCCTTTCCTCTGCCCTGGCCTCGTTCTGCCTCGTCTGCCCTGGCCTTGCGTAGCCTTTGGCCTGCCCTGCCTTGCCTTGCAGCCCTTGCCTCGTCCTTCAGCGCAAGCACGACGCAAGCACGCAAGCACGCAGCATCGACAGGCACCCAGACGGTCCACGGATACTGCGGTAGTGCAACAGCAAGGGGGAAGCCGTGAACGACTCGCGGACCGTCTCGTCTCGGACAGTTGCCCCGGACCTTGTTCTCTCGACGAATATCCGTACAGATTCTCTACGGATACTTGTGGCTTCGCTGCGCTCTCGGTTCTGTTGCACTTCTGAACCACAGATCAGCATCCCTCGTGTTTTGATCTTCCGACAGCCGCCCACCTCTAGGCTCTGGCCGCCTTTTGATCGTACGCATCGTCGTTTCGACTCTTTTGAACCTTCGCGTCTGGCTCAAGGTCCAACGTTCAACTTTCCGACAGCCGACGCGCCAACTGCTACACGCGATACCGCGCTTAGGACGATCTGTTCTCTTACGTGCACCAGTCCCTGCAGCGTAATCCGGATCCCGGGCACCCTCCAGCGCCCCCGTCAGTGACGATCCGGCTTTACAGTCAACTTGACGTGATCTCAATCTGAGCTTCGCTTCACTTTCGACAGAACGCTCACCACCAAGTTCAGATTCATTCGTGGTTGAATCGTCCCCTCTTACGATCTGGACGTCTTTTTAGAGATACTTGCACATCTCATAAACCATATCCTCGATTTGATTAAACCAAGCGCCTGGCTACATCCTCGTGAATCCCTTGCGATTCGTCATCGATCTCGAAGCTTCAAGATAGCGCGGCCTCGAGGCACGGCACCCTCGTTTCCCCGTCGCATCCTCAATCGCACCCAATGCCGCGATCAAGTTTCTCAGATAACCCCCTGCTGCGGGTATCGCGGCCTGTATCGGCCTGCTCGCGATGTGAGTTGTCATGGTTGCGGCTGACTGCTTGTGTTCATGCGAGGCTAATCGTGCCCCACAGGTCGAGCTGCAAAAGTCAAGGTAGCTATCCTTCCCCCGCTGCCCAGGCTAATGGATCTGACGGGCTCTTGCTGATGCACTCTTAACTCCTCTAGTGTGATGGCAAGCTTCCAGCCTGCACTGCCTGTGAGAAGGCAGGTCGCGAAAATGAGTGTTCCTCGGCCAATGATCAGTTCGCTAGAGGCAAGGAGAGAAGGTTGGTCGGCCCCTCATGAGATCTCGGCGTGCGTGGTGTTAACAGAGACTTAGTTATGTAGCGGCCCTGGAGCTTAGAGTTGAAAAGCTGGAGAAGCGGTTGGCGTTTGCGAGATCGCGCAAGGCATCGGTTAATCTTCATGATGTCGATGAAGCGACGGCGGCTCCTGCTGACCGTAAGGACTCTCTGGCCAACATTCGAGCCGCGATCCACCGCAAAGCTGCCCGTAAGAGGGAGGACTCGGATGTCAACGCACTTGTGTCTGACTTCGGCTTCTTGTGCGCCCATTCTCTTGACCCCCTACTTCAAAGTGCGTGCTAACGTCCACCAGATCCGTCAACGCAACAACTCGCGATTTTGAACCATCCGTGAGCGGCATGACGTTCGCCCGCCTGGTGCTAGCTGCCGCGACCAACGACGAGGTAACGGATCCAACGGAGGACAGTTTCCCAACCAGAGCAGAGGCCTTTGCCACTGTCCAGTATTACATGGCCAACATCTACTCACTGTTCCCGTCATTCTCGGAGACTCACCTACTCACCGTCTTGGACGATGTCTATCAGCAAGATGAAAGAGTCAAGGACAGGCTCAAGGATGCCGACTTCTGGCTACTGTACATGGTTCTCGCTATTGGATATGCGGCTCAGAGCAGAGATAAAAACGATGACTTCTCTCGCCGCGGTCTCGACTTTGTCGCTCGCGCCTTGCCTTTTGCTGACAAGGCACTGATGCCTGGATATCCAAGCCAGATTCAGTCGCTCATCCTCTTCACGCAATACTCAATGCTCGACCCTGGCCATTTCGACAGCTGGTACCTGATCGGATTTGCGAGTCGTGCTGTGGTTGACTTGGGATTCCATCAAGATCCGCCGCAGCTCCAGGTTCCCGATAAGGCTGCTCTCGACCTTCGGAGGAAAATGTTTTACTGCGTATATGCACTTGACCGGTAAGTTGGTCGAGCCTATTTAGCACACCAGAAGCAAATTGCTAATCCCAAGGACAGGATGATCAGCATGGTTCGCGCCAGATCCTTCTCCTTCACAGATGATTCCATCAATGTCGAGTATCCCAGCAACTCTGGGTTGACTTCTGGTCCGATCACTGGCCCTCAATCAGCAGACTCGGCGTTAGTCTTGTTCCAGCTTCGTCGACTCCAGTCCGAGTGGTATCAAACACTATTCCAGGGAGACGCAGCGCCACTTTCAGATGCCGCCTCCTTCATTTGGCAGATGTGCCTGGAAATGAGAGAGTGGCACGAATCACTGCCTGATAACCTACCTTCGGGCATCCGCGAGTTCTTCGAGCTCGAGCTGAGATACAGCTACATTCACTGTCTTGCGCCTAGCGATCGCCAGCCACACCTGACTGATTACACCCGCAAACTGATTTTTGAAAATGCCATCGCATACATGAACACAATTCACGGTGTCGTCCATGGTTCTGTCAACACCGCCTTCTACTCCTCGCTCGACGCTCTCAAGGTCTTCTTCGTGGCAACGCAGTTCTTTGTCGTCTTCAACGACAAGCGTGAGCTGCTTATCTCGGAGCAAAGAATCATTCCGCCCATTACTCGCCCAGGCACCGCACCTCCGCCACCTTTACCGCATCGCCCAGCTGGTGGCGAGGATAATTTGGACAGAAGCATGCGATGCTTGCAGCAGGTTATGGAAACACTTGCAAGATACTCTCAGCGATGGGACATTGCGTTACAGCTCAGGACTACATTTGAAGGATTGTCATCGGAGCTGTTCTCCTGGCTTCAAGTGCGTCGGCAGATGAGAGAGCAAGGACAGCTCCCTCAACAACACCAGCAACAAATGCAGCAGCATCAGCAATCGCCTCATCAACCGCAGCAGCAGCAGCAGCAGCAGCAGCAGCAACAACAACCACTCTACCACCCGCACCAACAGTCTTCACCCATACCCCATGGCCCCTCGCCGCCGCTTGGTCAACACCCTCAGCACCCTCACCATGCCCAACATCCATCCTACCCGCCTCATCCCCATCCTCAGGCTCTCATGGGGCAACAACAGGTATCGATGCAAGGCATGATGCAGCAACAGCTTCAAGGGCAACCAATGATGCAATATAGATGGGTCGGCGATGGAGGCGGGCAGATGATGCCTGGTCCACCCGGGCAAGGCCCACCAATGTGAGCCACATTGACATATTCATCACGCAATGCTCGTTGGATTCTGAAAACGAGACGGATACCTGGATTGGAGCAGCACATTTGTATTCTTAGATTATAGAGATGGTACTCCATCACAAGAGTCTCCTCTGTAACACAGCGATGTGACAAACCTGCCTGAATTGTATGCCCTTGTGACATGCATCTTGCCGTGGTTGAATAGCCTTTCGCGGCGAACTCGACGGCCAACAATTCATGAGCTCTCCCTTCACTCTTTCCTTGGTCTCGGCCGTGTCTTGGTCCACCCTCTTTGCTTTCTTCTATTGTCCATGTCCGATCTCATGCTGGCTTTGAAAGGGGAATGCAAGGGAGAGGACGGTGATGAGAGCGATGATAGAGCCGGGTTTTCAGACACGCATATAGGCACAGCACAAAAGCCGGAGGAGTGGCCAAATATCTCAAGATTATGAACAATTATCTACTCTCTTCCTTTGAATCATCGCATGCGTAGATGGCATGAGAAACCCGCGGTTCGTATGGTGGACTGCAAAGATGCGGAATGGAGGAAAAGCCATGGGGGGGAGATCCACCGAAGACGTCAAAAAGCACATCACCGATAATGATCAGCAGTCTGATTGTGGACAATATTCTGAATGGATGGTACGATGTTGCCGCCTGATATTTCTTAATAAAAGTCTGAAAAATGCTGGGAGTCGAAAATGGATTGCTTGAGGTAGCATACCTAGATCAAAGGTCTTGCGCGTGAATCCATTCCTACCTACTTGTTTCCCACGCCCGTTATCCTTTACCAGGTACAGTGCAGCTACGTTCACTTTACCTTTACATCGAATGAAATCAAGGTAAAGGAGCTATTCGTTACTACGTGCTGGTATGAACCTTCGTATCGTGCTGAGATACGAGCGTATCGCTGGAAACTAACGGACGCGAGTACTATCAAGTAGAACAAAATTAAACAAAGTGCTCTTTACTACGACAGGCTGTTACTACTGTTCGTATTCGTGCTTAGATACGAGCGTGCTGACGAGATAACACTAACGCGAGCACGTTTGGAGTAGTAAGGTTGATTTGGACGGTTGATGGGATCTTTTGTATCCAGCAGAGTGTGGATACGAATGAGAGAGAGGAAACTGCAGTCCGCTCGCGCAATAGTATCATTCCAACTTCAGATCGACGGTGTGTTGATGACGACTAATGTTAGCAGAATCAGATACGGTGCCATTGACGAGGGCGTTGGAATAGCAATCTCAAGCTCGATGTATGTACTTATGGTGCCTTGAGGTCTTTGAAGATAAAAAGTGAGAGCAAACTGTAGTTCGTTTGCACTGCAGTCTCATTCCAACCTGGATTGATAAGTCCTCAATAGAGTCATTTCACATTGTGCTAAGCCAAAGGTTATCTCATCATGACAACTTCAATTCCGCAATCTGGGGTATAATGCGACGGGATCTGTGCCTCTTTCAGGCTGATCCTCAGTTCTCTGATAATAATACATCAATCCGCATTACTCATTACTCCTCTGTCCAACTCCAAATCACCGCCATATTTCATCTCTCTAAACAGCCTCCTTCCTCTCGGACTGCTGAATCTCAGCACCCTCCTTGTTATCAAGCGCAGAGTGACCGTGGTGACCCTCCTCAGGCCCGACACCCAACATCTGCGCGCCCTTCTCGGTGTGGTTGGCGCCGCCGAACAGCTGGTCCATCTCCTCGAGCGGGATCTGCTTGGTCTCGGGGATGAGGAAGTAGACAAAGATGCCAAGCACGATGTTCATGGCCATGAAGAAGAAGAGGCAGTTGAGTCCCTCGTTGGCGAGGAAGGTGGGGAAGAATTGCTGGAAGATTGTGTTTGCGACGTTTTGCATCTGGGAGCACATGCCGACGGCCTGGGCGCGGACGTTGACAGAGAAGATTTCGGCGGTCCACATCCAGGTTGTTGCGCCCCATGTTGGCTTGTAGAAGAAGATGACTTGGGAGATGTTAGTTGAGGTAAGCAAGGAGGAGGGGGTGTTGAGTGAAGAACTTACAGAGGAACAGCAAAAACACAATGGAGATACCGACGGGCTCGCTCTTTGTTCCGTCTGCTGCCGTGGGAGTCTTCATGCCGACGATGGGGACGATGAGCATGCACACGGCCATACCAGCCGCACCGACGAGGAACAACCACCGACGACCGAAGCGATCAGCCGTCCACATGGCGTTGAGCGTGAAGAAGATACCCATGGTGGCGTTGAGCGCGTTGATGAGGTTAATCGTATCGGTAGACGGCCAGACCTTCTTGTAAATCGAAGTGGAGTAGGAGTTGAGGGTACCCTGACCGGTGAGCTGCTGTCCGACGTTGAGAGCGAAGGCGAGGTAGAGGCGCTTGCGGATGGAGGGGTCCTTGAAGAGGGCGGTGTAGGAGCTGCTGATGGCCTCCTTTTCGTACTCGATGGCTTCGCGGATCTGGAGGAGCTCCTGCTCGACCTCCTCCTCGGTGTCGCGGATGCGCATGAGGGCGGCGCGGGCGGCCTCGACGTTGCCGTTCTTTTGGATGTGCCAGCGCGGGGACTCGGGCTGGAAGGGGAGGGCGATGATGATGAGGATGGGGACCAGCATCTGGAAGATGACGACCATCTTCCAGTCCCATTCGCCGAGCTGCTCGCGACGCTTGGAGCAGGCGTACTGTGCAAGTATGTTAGGAGGTTTGCTTAACGATAAGAGATGTGAGAGGAACATACGTTGATCCAGTAGGCAATGAAGGAGCCGACAGAGTAGAACATTTGCCAGCAGGCCATGATGTGGCCACGAATTTCAGAGGGGGCAACCTCGCCGATGTAGACGGGGCCGGCGGTGAGAGCCATACCCTGGCCGAGACCGATCACGACACGGCCGGCAATGAAGACGCCGAGCTTGTGGTGGGGGGTGAAGGTCTGCATGAGTGTCGCGATGATGGTGACGAAGCAGCCGATGGCCATGCCCCAGCGACGTCCGAGGTAATCGGCCTGTGTTGAGAGAGGTTGTGTCAGTCCTGGCTGCGATGCTCCATCCGATGACCACAAGAAAGTGTGCTTACAGTGGGACCACCGATGAAGAAACCGGCGACGATGGCGCCGATGGTGTAGGCGGTGTTGACGAGGCCGATGAGCTGGGTGTCCTTCTTGAGGTCGACGTCGACCCAGGCGAGCCAGTTCTTTGAGCCCTGGAGGGAGTTGAAGACGGAGGCATCGTACCCGTAGAGGACCATGCACATGGCCGCCATCAGGGAGATGTACCAGTTGTACACTCTTTTGCCGGACGGAAGACCCATCTTGGCGGACTCTGTTGTTGGTGAACTCCCTACAGAGAGATAACGACGCTCTGTGTGGTAAGAGGAGGGGGGTTATCGACCTAGAGAAGAGAAACTGATTGAAGCAACTCCGGCAGAGAGGTAAAGAGCCAAGGAGGGAAGAGAGAGGGAGTCGTTCGATTCAGGACGAAGAGGAGATGGGAGGTTGTCTTTAAAACCTTTATCTCAAAGGCGCACACCATACCACGCTATACCCGGTCTCTCTCTCTCTTTCGAAAGTAACCTAAGCCGTTCAGATAGGGATCCCCGCAAGAGTTTAGATTTCTCCCAATCCTTTCCCCCAAATCCCCTCATCTCACACCCCCGGTCCCCCTCATTCCCCGGTCTGACTATCCGCCCAAAAGATGCTGGGCTTCGAACGAAGACGGCTGGCTGCCGCTACAGTCGAATCGGATGGCGAAAAAGAAGAGCAACCAACCGAGAGAGGAGGAGGGATTCGGGCTGGCACCCGGCATCTTTCCCCATAATTGTCGAGGGCCCCAGGTCTAGCGCTGGTTCCGGGGGAGTGGAGAATGAGATGGGGGAGTTTGGATGGCATGGTTGGATGGGTTTGGTTTTCTGCACACCGAATGCTGAGAGATACCTAAATTAGAGCCGGGTTTCTATCTCGTTGCATATGACTATCCGTAGGTACATGTAGGTTAAGTCCCCTTGCTTGAGTCTGTCATAACCGCCAGGTAAAGGGCCGAAGACACTGTCAAATGTGATATCTCCAAATACTCTCTTCCGTTGCTTTTCAAAGCCTCACTGTATTGATTCCCTCTCTCATCAACTATGTCGTCCAAGGACAAGACAACCCAAGGAATGCGGCGACAGAACGAATCTCTTGGCGCCGCGCCGCGTGTGGCCCGCCGTGTCCGCCTCTCTTCCCCAGAGACCCCCAACCTTTTCAACAATCCTTGCTCGACTCTTGTCTCCGCGAAAGGGCCAAAGGGGAAAGCTAGCCAGCCGGCTAGCCCATGGAGAAGGGGGGGCGTCTGAACCTGCGGAGAAACCCCCAACCTTCAATAATCCACCAAT